TAATTGTTATTAATAATTTTATAGTGCAATGTGCATGCCCAACAGGCCAACAGCCCAAGTTCTCAAAATTCTAAACAACATGACCCGTTCAAAAACTGATAATGAGAGACAAAATCATCCTGGATGTGAAGTAAGGTCAGTGAGACAAAATTGACATAACATGCAAAATCATGGAAAAACTCTTATATGGATGCGTATAAAGATTTATTTAAAGTATAAAAAGGCTTCCTTCATTTAAATCTTGCAGCTCCAAGAAGATAGGAAAGCTCAAGTTGTGGCTTGGAAAGGAGATGTATTCCCTTTCCCTACCTGCCCCTTGGGCCTTAGGGTCAGTGCTATATTGAGGGTAAAGCAGAATGTTATAAGTCTTCAACAAATAAAGGGATGTAGTTTATTATCAGGTTTTAGTATGTAATTTTTCAACTACTCTGGCACTTCAATGTGAAAGTTGGTATGTGTTGGCAAGTTACATCAAAGGGGGTATAGTCAGATGGGGTAAGACAGGACCGAAATCACTAACAAGCATGTAGCATCTATACCATGAATAAATAAAAAACCCTAAACCTACCATAAGGTGTAGTTATGCAATGGGCTTCTAAGCTACAACTCAGACTTGCTGCATACAACACAGTTTTCTGTACAGATTAAAAAAAGTGAGCTGGTCCCATCTTACCCCACTGGGGTAAGATGGGACCGGGGCTGGGGTAAGACAGGACCAACAGGTAATTCTTGTGTTACAAGGCTTTTAATAAAAGAACAAACCTGATACCGGGTATTCAATATCATCAATCTAGAAACACATTATTTGATTACACAACCACTTGTTACTGTTTTGTGTTGCAGGATGTCAACTCTAGGTATTGATATTTATCAGTCACATAGGAGTTTTTGTCACAATAAAACTTTGTTAACTCTTTAATGACCAAATTTTTTCTAAGCGCATAAATTTTTTTTTATTTCTAGTGTTTCCAGTCACTAAGTAGTGTATAGATGTGTATGGAACATTGAAAATTGTATATTGAAAAATTGAAAGGCAACATTTCAGTCCACTTGGTCTTACGAGATCCTAACATTAAACGCGACAGTATGATTGATCCCTTTAGTCTTCTGAGCACAAAATATGGATGATATTATGTAGCTGGCATAGTTAATTATCATTTTATATATTACTTTTGCTAGCAACAATAGGCTTAAGAAGTCTGGTCAAGAAACTTCCAATAAACTCTAGTATTTTAGCAAAAATGCCTTATTTGAGATTGAAATTTAAAAGAAAATTTTTGTTTTTCTGACATCCTTGATGTTGGAAAAACATCAAGGATGTTGTGCCAAAGACGCCAGGGCCATGGTTGTGAGGCCAATGTCTAGGCAGAGAGGACAGTGTCTAGGTTGAGAGGCCAGCGTTAAGGCTGAGAAGCCTGAGTCCAGGTTGAGAGGCCCGAGTCCAGGTTGAGAGGCCCGAGTCCAGGTTGAGAGGCCCGAGTCCAGGTTGAGAGGCCTGAGTCCAGGTTGAGAGGCCTGAGTCCAGGTTGAGAGGCCAAGGTCAAGGTTGAGAGGCCTAGGTCAAGGTTGAGAGGCCAGGGTCAAGGTTGAGAGGCCAGGGTCAAGGTTGAGAGGCCAGGGTCCAGGTTGAGAGGCCAGGGTCCAGACTGAGAGGCCAAGGTCCAGGTTGAGAGGCCAGGGTCAAGGTTGAGAGGCCAGGGTCCAGACTGAGAGGCCAGGGTCCAGACTGAGAGGCCAGGGTCCTGACTGAGAGGCCAGGGTCCAGATATGCATGTAATTTTTATTTTATGTTCAAATTTTGCATGTGCACCCACTATTGTACTAGAAACTGTCTAGAATTATTCCAATGCTGCAACTTTTCTGCTATTCCCACCATAGTCCAATAAAGATTGGGAAAGTTCAACGAATGAATGGCCCCACGGATTCCCAACAAGACCAGCGCTGTACGACGTAGTTGGCGGCAAAGAGTAGAGCTGCACCACCGAAACAAAGCATGGATGCTTACTGAACACACTCAAAACAACTATTGCATATTCCTTATCATGACAGTAATATTACACAGCATGTTTGAAAGGCAACCGTATGGTTCACCTGGTTGTTAAAGGGTTAAGCATAGTAATAGTAGGTTGGCTTTGATTCATTATAGAGCACTGCTAAATGCTACATGTATATTCCATTAGTGTCATTGTCTGAAAATTTATCAAATTGATAATAAAACCAATGGATAATAATTTAAGTGTCGGACATCATGTATTTTCTTGCTAACTGCATTTGTGGTGCACTTCTCAAAACATACCTAGCCCATGCTCTCTCACAAAGTTGTGATATTAATTATTTTTTATTTTTCACACAATGATTTTCCCCCAACAACTCTTGCACATAGTTTTGCAGCTCACTAATGGGAAGAGACATCCCTATTTTCTCCATCCCCTTAATGCAATTTACCATAGTACGCTAAATTTCTCTAAGGAGAGCATCTGCCCCAAAATTTATCTCGGTTATTTACAGATGGAGCTCTCTGAAAATGGGTACACTTATTTAAAATAGAAAGAGTGTGAATTTTTATGTGAATTTTTTTTTGCTGCCATTAGATGCGTCAGAATGTAAGCTTTAAGATAAGATGAGTATATAAACCGAAAGTCAAAATTTTTGATTTTGGGGCAGACACTCCCCTTAAAAAGCTGACAAGTTAGAATGGTTATTTTGAGCAAAAATTGTATGTTCCATTTGACCAAAATACTCCAGTACAAATGCACCATAATATATTTGTTTAAAAGCTATTTTTGATAATCTATGGGGTAACAGAGGACCATTTGTGGGGTAAGATAGGACCATTTATGGGGTAAGATAGGACCACTTGTGGGGTAAAGCAGGATCATCTAGTGGTCCTGTCTTACCCCATGTCCGGTCCTTTTTTACCCCATTTTGGAATACATGTCAGGCAGTGATGGTAGCAGGTGGGAATGCCTAGTATGTCTCAAAAGTTGCTTATTACTTGAGGTTACATGCCTACATCTACAAACTTGGCCAAAAAAATTTTTGTCATTAGACAGAGCTTATTTCCCAAACAGGGTTAACTATTTTGTGACATTTCTTTACATAGGTTTTCTTTAAAAATTAGCCAGAAATTCATTATTTACAGAAGAGGGTTGAAACAAGCACTGAAATGACATGCAATGATTGCTCTAACATATTCTTCTTTCAAATTAAATTCAGTGCAATTAGAATGCATGATATGGGCTGGTCCTTTCTTACCCCATGAAGGCTGCGATCCTGTCTTACCCCATTTGACTATATGGGTAATACAGGACGGGTGGGGTAAATTGGGGATAGTCCCACATTTTGTAAAAATTTTGTAGCAACCTAACTAATTTTACAATTGCAAAACTAGAAATAGTAGCATAAAGTTCAACATTTTTCCCATCTTTGTAGCACAAAGCAAGTTAAGAAATTATTATTACTTCTAAAGAATCCCTGAAAAAGTGTTAAAAGTGAGATTTTGGAAAAGTACATCTCAGCTAAGGTCTGTAGCAAATAAAATATTTGCCATATTGATAAAATTTTACTCACATAAAAGTTGCACACAAGTGTTGTCTTAAAAACATGATTGATGGAATTTGTGTAGCTCATTAAAAAAAATTGTGGCCATTTCTGCATGACGGCTATAAGGGACACCCCCCTGAGTAACAAGCGACACCTCTAAAAACGCAATTACTGTAGAACCTTGTTTAGAAAAGGCTTCAGTTAATGAGAAAAATCAATTATCATCAAAGAATCTTGATTACTGTACATTTACCTTGCTCAGCAAAAAATTTTCACTTGACAAAAAATTAATGCATCATCGGTCATCACAAAATTGTGCATAGTATGTCACAGGTAGAATTGTGCAATGGACAACATAAAATGGGAAGTTATTAATCTAAACTATGATTTATTTCTCCAAAAAATATGATGGTTGTCACTAAAATATTCCTTTCTGTTTCAGGTATGTTTCTTATAATCTTTTTTGTTAGTGAATTCACTTGACCCAATGAAAATGGTGCAAAATTACCAGCCATCCTGTAAGCTACATATATATACAGAAGAAATGTTTTATGGCTGCTGATATGAAGCTTGCAGTGGACAAGGTTATTGTAAATGCTCAATGGCATGTCCATGGATGCGGTAATATCACATCAAGAATACAGTAATATATCATAGCAATAAAGGAAAAAACGTTTAAAAATCACAGAAAATTTCATTCATTCTACATCTACATCATTTACAAAGGAAGAGAAGGACTTCAGAGTACTGTTAGTAATGAATGAGTACACTCTGCTTCCTTCGAACATTTTAAAATCAAGTTTTATTTGAAGTGTCCCTTATTACCCTGTTCCAAGGGGTAATTCGGGACACTTTTATTTTGCATCTGACATCTTGGCATATAGGAATTTTTTGAAGATGTCATATGATAGCATATTATAGCTCTTGCAAAGAGCTTTGAAATGTGCCCAAACTCGTTTCTGAAATGTTTCATGATAAGAAGGTATTGATGAAAAATGCTCAAAACCATCTCTTATTACCCCATTTGACAGTCTAAGTTTTCTTTCAAAATTTTCATGATTTAAAACTGTTGTGAAGAGCTAATAGAGGTGTTTTTTAATCCCTACTAGATGCTTGAGATATTGAAATCATTTGTTTCCACTAGAGTGTTAGCTGTCTGCTTATTGTGCATGGCTTACTTTTAGTTCCCTGCAGGAATAATGTCTTTTGTAAATCCAATTATTTCTACTAAAATCTGTCCACATGAAAATTTCAATCATCAACTGTCATCTAGTAAAATTTTTATTGCTGCTAATATGATGTTACATTACCTATATTATTGAATTTTCATACACTTTACACCATTGTAAAAAAAGTGTAAAAATTTTTTGTTGAGAAAAGATCTTGCTATCTATCAATATTTGATATACTTTAAGTATACAGTATTGAAAATCTTCATTTATGTAGTATAATTTATTTCTTTAATTTTTATTTTTGAGCAGTAGGTCAGTTGATATATAGCCTCAGAACAGAATGTTACCATCAAGAGGTGTGCAAGGTCTGTTAGCTGCTGCATCAGCTCTACGTAGTTGCACTGATGTGTCACTTGTGAGGCCCACCCAACAAGTCATGTCATTTTACACAAAGGATATTTACGTGAAGCCTGGCACGGCTCACAGAAAAACCCAGCATTTCAAGAGGAAACATTGGAATCCTCTCTACAGAAAAGAGAGAGCTGACCGGGTATGCATATCAATATATTTCTACCATTCGATTTATTTAAAATATGTTTGTTATGTGGTAATATAGATGGAATATAGTACAAAGACTAATTAAAGAGAAATGTTCTACAAAATCTACACTATTACTGCTGTTGAGGATGATTGTTACTGTGCTCTAGTTACTGCTGTTAAGGATGGTTGTTACTGTGCTCTACATTATTTCTTTCATTCCACTATTTCCTTGCACTTTGGCAAGTGTTATCTGAAAATTTGTATGGGCTCAAAGTGACTATTTTTGTTCTTTCAACACAAATGAAGGATCTTACAAGAAGGCACTTACATTATAACTTGATTTACATGGAATTTAATTTCAGCAACATGTTACTTTTTAGTGTCATTTGTGTACAGATTATGAAGGTGGACCTCATCGACTATCATGAGAAAAATGATGAGCTCACCCCACAGGAGATCAGAATGAAGGTACATTAAATCTATATTAGTTTATCTTTTAAGGAATCAATAAATGTTAGCTTCATTGGTGTACTAGTGTTTAAATCAATACCAGAGCTACAGAAGAGCTTTTTTATCCATAAATAAACCTTTCATTTGTCTTTCAGTTGTTTGCATGTATCCTATTCAATTTTGTTGTTGCACGAGTACCGTTTAATTGGAGTACTCCTCAATTAAATTTGCTTGAATTTTATGGTAATTGATAATTTGCCAAACTTGTATCATTTTCGATATTACAGTTTGCATTTAGCTGAGGAAATGCTGTTTTATTATCAATACAAAGCTTTTGCTATCTATGAAGGCAATCAGTAATTACATGAGTCAAAAGATCAATGATAAAGTTTAATATTTTTCCTGGCTTCAGATGAAGCAGCGCGGCCTTCACCCATTCCGACCGTGGAACGAGCGCCCCATCAACATCAGCTGCACGCCCAGTGTGTTCGAGCCTTACGTTCCCCCTGAGTATGACGGCAAACTCTCCATCGCATCTAAAGACGTGCGTATTACGAGTGCGTCTGTCCATTCATGTGCCGTCTTATCTGTCCTCTGCATCATGACAGAACTGGCCATGAAAATCCTGAATTAACATGACGTGAGGGAAAAGTGAAAATTAAACAGGTCGCATTGAAAACGTTGATACTGAACACATATCTGAAAAATTCACAATATACTCCTACATTTTTCGCAAGGAACTTTTGGTAGCTTTGACGGTCAAAACGTTAAGATTCGTATGTCAAGATTGAAATATTTTAGCAGAATTGTATGTTAAATATCTACTCATTTATTAGCTGTTCTGAAAATTTGCAGAATTATTTTTCTCGAACAATTGTCATTCTTGCAACCTTCGCTTGAGATCGCCAAATACCTCCACAACATATATACCGCACTACCGGTACATATGTATTACTGCTCGTTTGCAGCAATTGCTAATCAATTTTCTATGTACGATTTGTTTATGAAGATGTTGCACGCTGCTCACTGTATAAGGTGAGACTTGAGATTAATTCAATCATTACGTATTTACCCAGGGCGCCAAGCAGAAGTTTGAATTCATGGAGAAGAAAAGCAAGACCTACATAGCCATACGTAAAGTAGGCAATTATGACGAAGATTTCGACATAAAAATGTTTGTGGATGAAGCTCAGGATATTTATATTAAAGCGCACAAAGCCATCGCCGAGTAAGTAGTATTCGACAGATGTGAGGCCTGTGTATTATAAACTTAAGTTTGTGTTAGGCGAGAGAGGCGTTAATTTTCCCGTAATATAATTATACAAGATTATTACAAGTTTACTACAAGAAATGATTTCTCGTATTGTTTTTTATGGGTAAATATTTGCTGCAACTGTGTTGTGACAATTCAATGAGAATTAATTTCCAATAGTGTGTGGGAATTTAATTATCGTGTTCCTATAAATATTCGATGAAATCATTTTCCTGACAGTGAAGACGAGGATCTGTTGCACGACCTGGTGACGGAGCGAGCTTTTCCTCTCGTCACTCACGAGACCAAAAACAAGACCATCAGGTGAGCATGCATTTCTTTGCCTAACTCCTCGAAAATAGGGTACATTATTATATAAGCTAAACGAATTAAAGATATAGGAATATATCTTATTTAAGCATCTGCATTACAATCAATATACAACTGCAATATTGTCAACTAGACATAGATGTATAGCTCCCAATCTGTTTGCATTGCATTCTATAAAATAGCATAGTATGTAACTCCCATTTGTGGAAGATATATATGGACAAGTTTCGTTATTAATCTACTCAGAAACGTAAAGCAACTTCTGAGATTAGCTTATTGCCTTCTCAGGTGGGAGTTCATCGAGACGATTGAGAAGCCTAGGGCGGTGCACGCTCGCGTCACAGAAGTCATTGACAAGGACAACCTCTTCGCTCAAATAACTGTCAGGATGCACACCAAGCAGGTAATGCGCATCCATAAAGCAGGTTACGCTGTTCACGGTTTGTAGCGTCGGCCGTACCACCCCCAAGTACTCCATCCTCTACCTCCCCTTATTTGTATAAAAAAACATATGTATGGATTGATTGTTAAAATGAACTATCAAACAATTTAGCGAGCAATGAGTATAACTCGACAGCTCCATATTGTTTAAACTCAAATATTTACCCAACGCGCTCACCTGTCATTTCTGAATTGCATTCTCTCTGCCACCACGTTTCGTTTGCTATTAATGCCCCATTCGCTCATTCATTGCTAAGCCATAATCTATTGTCCATTGTGTTCCTGTGAATTAAAATTTGATTGAACACGGAAATCTGTTTTTATTCGCCGTTTGCCCTGCAACAGACGCTGGCCGTGTACGACAGATTTGGCCGCCTCATGCACGGCTCGGAAGTGATAGCCAAAGACGTGCTGGAGTACGTAGTCTTCGAGAAACATATTTCCAATACAAACGGCACGTGGCGAATGCACGATAAGATCATTCCTGGTGAGTGAAATGCATGTAGAGTTGGATGCTGTCTAGTTGGAATAACTTGTTTATGGATATAGACTGAAATTACAAAATACACGTAAGGAGACTTGCCAACAATATATTCTGACATTAAGTATTTAAAAATCACAGAAATAATGTAACGCTCAATTTCAGATTGGCTGCCGAAGAGACCGGCAGGTATTCGTACGGTGCGGGAACCATTGGAGGAAGCCGAGCCTTTCACCGAAGAAGAACGAGAAATTAAAAAAGAAACCGCTTCTGCCGTGTAAGAAGTATGGCTCATATTGTGTACATAGACACGAGTTCTTCCCAAATAAATGACGACCAAAAAGGTTTTTATTCACGTTTTGAAATAAAAACAATTGAAAGCAACAAAAATGCCCCAATATTGAAATTGAATAGTAATTGAAATATATTTACTATTTGCAATTGAGAAAAAGAATGAGACAAAAAGTCAAAGTCCGAACTTTTCAATAGTTTAATTACAGAAGTGCAATGAACAATACAAATGAAAGTAAATTAAATCTATAACATACTTTGGTTATCGAGTCAATGAAGTCATAATAATTGAAGAGGCAGACATGTTGCTCTAACGGCGTAAGGTGCCTCATTTTTGCGCCCTTTGTTTTCAGTTGATACAAGCTCTTCTATCTACTATGGCTTCACGCTCACGTTATACATCTAATATAAGAATGAGCTAATGGTGTGAATGCTGAACTTAGATGATTGAACTAAAACATGAACAATGCATTTATTCAACGACTAAGTAAAAAATCTCGTATTAGTGAAAGGATGGTTAAGCCATCGATGAAGAACAAACTGTGGCCGGAATTTGCGGAAATGTGTCTTGGCACAGATGGCACAAACACCAGTTTGGATTCATTTTCGGCCCCAGTTGGGATTTATTCCGCCACTTATTGCAACTGAGTACAGCAGCTCTTTGCTACATAACATTCAAGATACAAGTCTAGAAAATATACGGTCAAGAAAACAAATCGAACTCCACTTGAGATAGTCATCTATGACTTCTTACTACTAAGTAATATGTCTCGTCGGTCCTGAATTCTTTACAGCAAGTGTCTTGCAAATTACAGCAAGTGTCTTGCAAATTACAGCAAGTGTCTTGCAAATTACAGCAAGTGTCTTGCAAATTACAGCAAGTGTCTTGCACAAAACATATTCGTCATCGTAATCAAGTTGACAACCTCATCTCTGAATTTATTCAAGTCACACAATGGAAGGGATTTTTCTCGACGGGTGAAAAGTTTTAATAGCTATGCAAGAGCTAAACAGGATCTAGAAGAAAGAAGTATTTAGGAAAAAAATAAAATGCCGCGATAAAATTTTCCATAGGTTATTTCTACTTTTCACATAAATATAGTTTAGGATCCACGCCCCATCTCTTTCCACAGCTGAACCAATATAAGACATGCATGCATTTCAACTATTCTTGAACAGACACAAGTGAAGGCGGAATCTCGTACAAAGGTTTCCTAACGGGTCAAATGCACAAAGATATTTACAGGTTTCACCACTCAAAACACCGTGATTGGTCAGATTGCGACCAAGTACACATGGGCAGGTCAGTACCTACACAGGGCTACACGAGTTAAGCAGCAGGTGGTGCTGGGCGATGCCAGCAGCCTTTTAGTGGGCCTGATCAGGCCGCTGGGAGACCTGAGCAGCGAGACTCTGATGCATGGGAGGCTGGAAGCAGCGCACGTGCTCTACGGGCAGCATGTCAGGATCGCTCGTCTTCAAATATTTGTTCAAGATGGCAAAAATTTGAGAGTTGAGCACTTGGAAGCGGCGAATGCGGTCGCACATGCGAACGAGATGCTGGAAAATTATCGAAATGTATTAAGACAGCGTTTTAAAACCGGATAAAGAACCCAGAATTCTCAGTCTTCGAAGAAATCAGAGATGATTGAGATTGAAAAGACGGTACAATTTATAATAATCACATCACACCGAAATAATCATTCATAGCAATCGAATTCACTTCAAACTCATTAATTGTTAAACCATGTCGGTACTACTTAAAGAAAAAGATAAAATGATTATAACATCACAAGCTTTACTATCACGAGCACTTACAATTCCTTTAACGTTGTCGTCTTTACCATCGACCTTCTGAACGCGCACGAGATGGTAGCAGAAATCGAGCGCCTCAAACCTGCGCTGCTGGCCCAGTAGCAGCACCATGCAGCAACCAGCCCAGTTCAGACCCTCGCCAAACATTTCCCTGTCATTGCAACGAGATGACAATGCCTCATTCCTGCATTCAACTGTGCGCATTTAATTACTAATAATGCATGTCGAGCAGATGTAAGTAGTGAGAACTCCTCTCAGGTACAAGAAACCTAATATTTTGACGAACCAAGAAGACATCTTAAATACGATTAATACAGAGCAGATGAAATGAGCTAGTAGCTGAGTTGAATATCTTTAAATAATACTGCTCAATTAACACTAGGACACTGCGTACTCGACTGTATAATTGTTCTGGGCGAGAGGAATGCACATGATGAACTGTAAGGCAGACCACAGCCTATGGAACTCTGTGCAGTCAACAACGTTCATGACGCCGTTTGTTGGAGGTTCGCCGTGCCAGATACGATCCTCAAGGTACGGCTGGATCCTGTTAAGGATCATCTGAAACCACACGGCGCAATTATCAAAAGCTTCACAAGTTTGATATTTTCTTGATTAGGTTGGAGGCGGGAAATTTATTATTAAACATTAATTTTTTACAATTTCAAAAAATCCATAATCGATACTACAATTTTATCTAAACCCTTTAATAAATTCTTATGAATTCGCCTACCAGGCATAACAGATGGGAAGCTGGCTCTATAATGTGGTAGAAAAGCACCAAAAATTATTTTAGTTTAGTGTGCGATTAAATATTATGTTTATTGGCACTAGAAAATTTACATCGCGGATTAATTTTACATTTATTGCTAATCACTCGGAAAAAATTATGAAACCGAAAAAGCGCAGAACGTAAAACAAAAATATTTCGAGAGATGAAAATCAAGACTCACCTCAAAGATGGAGAGGCCACAGCACAGGCGTTCTCTGGTCAGCAGGTCTCCTTCACGAGCAATCATTGCTTGCTGCAAATAAAAGTTCGCGTATTAAAATACGAGGTTTGATGGGCGCGAGAGAGATGATTGGACAAGATTGCATAATATACAAAGTGAAACAACTATTGAAGTGGTAAAATTATAGAAAAATTTATAATACGGTAATTGTTCACAGCTATTCTTGATGCCATTCAAAGTCGTAGATGGAATTAATTTTACCAGACAAGGTACGGAGATATCAACAACACAAACGGCATTCCCAAGCTTTACCATCAATCCATAAATAAGTTCCACACTAAACGAAAGAGCTTCTAGCTTCTGCCTTCACAGACCACTTTTTCATGTCAGAAATAACCAAGAGATGTTACCAAACAACAAAATATCTTGTGTTGCGGTATTGAAGTGAACCATTGCACCCAAAGCATCTTGACGAGTCTCACTCAACAGTTGCTGACGCAACAGCTAAGTTCCATGTGAGCTACCAACTTCTAAAGCCGTGGCCACCGTCCCTGCCTTTGGCCATCGCACCCCTCCTCCAGTGCCTCCACCTCCGCGAGCGAGACGTCGGCGCAAGAAACAACCACGCTGTGATTCGACTCGAATGGTGGTATCAAACCTACGTAACAAAGCTTGTAATATAGCCTCACCTTTGTGCTGCCAAGTCGTTCGATGTTGGTGACCACCTGCAGAGGAGCGTATTTGGCCTCCAACCGCTTCTGTTTGGTCTCAGGTTTCTCTCCCTCTGTAGTAGAAGGGAAAAATTTTTTTTTCTCACGCGACATTTAATAACTTGCTAGAGAGCCGAGTATTTTCCTCATAAACTGCAATTTAGTTTGAAATTTAAACAGTTTAATTTTGAATTTAGTTCACGTAATAGAAATTGAATAGATCAGAGAAATATTGTAACGAATTATAACTTAGTAACTCATCAATATTTTATGCCTTTAAGAACACGACGACCTTTTTGAAGCAAGACCATTGCTAACCTTCTAGCTCCTCTTCAACACAAAAGAGGACGAATCAATTTACAAGCAGAATGTACACCCACCTTTGCAGAAAGGCCTGGGCAAAATGTTCTGGAACGGCGCCGCCTGCAGCAGGTCGCACACTTCCTCCTGCGTGAGGCTCTGCTCGATCAGCAGACAGAAGAGAAGGGCGTTTCCCATCTCCCTGAACTGGTGGAAGAGTTCAGTGCGCGCATCTGCATAGCTGATGATGTCTTGTAGATGAGCCTGGTAAAATCCAAGCACGCCTGCGCACAAATATTCCAATTCTCAGCTGATCCGCGCATTATTATTATTATTATTATTATCATTATTATTATTACTATAATTCTACGAAAGTTTTCGCGGCGTCTAGTTCAAACGAACTTCGAGGGCATGTAAGACATAAGTTTAATAGCACGCGAAAAATAAATAAATAATTTATTACCTGGCGATCGCATCAAGGTTTCGCTCCCACAACAAATAAGAAAAATATAACAAAATAGTATTCATAAAAGCCATTATTCTACGATACACGACCAGCACAAAAAGATTTTCGAAGAGAATTAAGTATGGCCTAGCTACTCCGATCACAAAAGCACTTGATCTTTGCTATTGAATATAAATAATTTATTAACCAAAAGCTGCATGAAGAGAACTACCTATGCTCAAATACTAAGATGCCCAGCATTCAAAGGCTTTTCATCATCGATTTCCTTCTAAGCTCTCAATGAAATAATGGCTCACCAACGGAGCCGTAGTCGTATCGCGGAAGTTTCATTTCTTTAGGCATGACGTCCTGCAGTGTTTGGATGTACTGAAATATGCTGCCTTGTATGAGCGACCGGATTATTTCCAGCAGCTCCTGCATGACCACCGCGATGCCCTGGTAGCCAAGAACTCGCACCATCGCCCGCAGGTGAGGCGGACCCAGGAATCCTGCTCGATAAGTCATCATCAGCTTCACATCTACACAATCCCTGTGAATTACAAACTATTGCTAAAACACAAACAGGCAATCTCGTCAGAAATTGACACACTAAAAGCCCATATAAGCCATGAACCCAGTCATCGTCTTCGCGTAAAAAAAATCGTCTATGTCACTTCATGATGAATCCAGAAATAATATCCAGAGTGCAGTCACATTACAAGAAGGTTAATACAGTACAGTTCAGTAAATTAGACAAGGAGGATTCAATTAAAGATTTGACATAACGAGTAATCGAGACGTCTTGTGCGCAGTGACTGACCTGAGTACTGGGAGTAGATGGCAGAGTAGAAGTTGTTGAGAGTCTTGCTGCCCCACACCAGGTAGGCGGGGGCGTTGGGCGCCTTCTCCCTCTGGGCAGAGTCCCCGAACGGCACGACGGTGCGCACGAACCTTCAATGTAGATTAGCATTTTGTTTATTCATAGCTGTTTATTTGAAACATAGTACAGGTATCTGCGCGTTTTTTCAATAACGTCCACTAAAAATATATTAGGGATAATGCGAAAGTTTTATTACGACTTCCGAAAGTAAGCATCGTCCTTGGCAGCACTGCGAAATTAGTTGAAGAGAAGGTGGTAGAGAACTAACCTGTTAGTGGCAGCGTTGTAGCAGTAGTTGGGCAGGAAGTCGTAGTTGAGTTCCCAGAAGATGTGCAGCGTAGTGCGGCCGTAGGGCGCTAGCACGCTGTGGTTCGCCTCTCGTAGTTGAGCATCAAAGTCGTCGAGGGCGAGGTGCTGGCGCAGCAGTTTGTGGCACAAGCGATTTACTTCGAGCAGGCCTTCCAGTTCCTGAAATAAATATTCAGGTAATGATAATATTTTCTAATGGAGATTGACATGCAAATGAGAATGCGGAACGCGTTTCATTAACGAGCATTCCAGTTCTGCAAATGATTGTATGGTTGTGAATGATAAATTCAGCAACAATGTGAGCGCAATACGCCATTGAGATACGAAAATCAGTTCGCAGGCGCAAGAAAATTGTACCATCACACAGCTGTGATAAAAACAACTTTTGTATTCAACAGCGGCGATCATTTTAGATTACCGGTACATAAAAATAAATAAGCTTATTTCTTCATTTGTCTTGAGTCACGTTATTTGGACTGAATAAAAAGTGGTCAATGAACTTCGAACAGAGATCAAATAGAACAATGGAACACTCAATAGAAGATAAGACATCATATGTGCAAGCGAAGGACACTCAATAGAAGGTAAGATATAAAAGATATTAATGACACTATACACAATAATAGAAGGTATCACAGGGTTCAAACGTGAATAAAAGCTTTTTATTCACGTTTTGAAATAAAAACGATTTAAAACAAAAATACCCCAATATTGAAACTGATAATTGAAATATATTTGCAAGTATTTGGCAATAGAGGAAAAGAATGAGACAAAAAATCAGAGTCCGAACTTTTTAATAGTTTATATAATAGAAGGCATCACAGGATTGTTCTGGGCACGCACCACGATGGAGGTGATGTCGGCGGCCTCGAAGCGCGCGATGGCGGTCTGCAGGGAGGTGAGGAGGGCCACGTTGATGCGCTGACACATGAGCTTGTTGAGGTCGATGCTGCGCCCCAACAGCTGCACGTGACGCTGCTTCAGCAGAGACTCGTACCTTCAAGTCATAACAACTTTCATTTTCTCTACGACTAAAATGTCTTCGAGAACAGCAGCCATTCGCACTCACTTTATGAAGTCTTCTAATGCATGGGGCTTGCTGTATGCTTTGCAATGTTTCAATGAGGAGAATCGCACATCAACGGCCGGATTATTGGATGAACATTGGGAAAGAATTTAAGGAAAACTTGGCAATTATTTTTAAATACTTGAAGAACTAGAGGAGAACACAATTCTTCTCTCTATAAGATTTATGACATCATAAATAGACAATTGATCACGCCTGCACAAAGGAAGGAGAAGAAAGCTATGCTGAGTTACCTGTTAGTTGTCGGGTTCGGCATTTTGGGCGTGTGGAGGCAATACTCGGTGCGGAAGCGCTTGTCCAGCAGAATACTGGCGACGAAAATAATACTTCACATGACGAAGTGGTACGTTATATTTCATAGAAAATTATGCACTCGCTAGTGACAATATGTCAGGTAATTGGTTATTTATATCATTTTAAATATATTACAATAAACCATTTTACAGATTTAATCAAGAAGGCATCTTTAAATTGCTGCAATAGCATCAAAAATAAGTAAGCTGAATGGAAAATTCTTGGATTATAGTTCATTAGTTGGAGTACAGCCTGTTTCTGATGTACTGACCTGCCAGCCTGCTGCTTGTAATACGTGAAGATCTGTTCGCTGAGTTTGAAGACGAACTGATCAAAACAAAGGTTAACTTCGGCCTCGATTTCGTCGTAGAGGAACTGCTTACGGAAGTGCGTGAGTGCGTAGTAAGCAGAGTCATTGTAGAGGTCCAGGGGGTACAGCACGCATCTGGTCGCAGTTCATTACAAAAACCTTCAATTTTTTGGCATAAAAATAACTATATTTCTTGATCTAAGATTTAAGATTTCTTCCTCGGTTGAAATTTTTATAAACGTATAAGGAATTACGTAACCTCAGCGCAAATTTTGCGCATAATTTAAGATCAACTTCACTATTTATAGTGGTACATAGAAACAATCTATTTTATTTGAATTGTATCATGAAACTCACTCCATCATGGAGGCATCTTTGGTGCGCAGGATGTGGTCAGTGAGGATCCATGGCATGGACATCTCGATGGGGAACTGCACAGCGGGAAATGAGTTCGAGAAACGCGCTAGAATTTTTTTTCACACATTTCTGAACATTTTCTAACGTGACCCTCGAAAAGACTAAAAGAAGCGCATGGAAGTGCCTGCAGAGAGCATTTTTTGTCTTTGGAAGAAGGATGTCTGGATGATGGCCATAGCTTTAGCTTATCGTCTACACTACAAAATTGATCCCCATCATAAATAAAACATTTTTATTACAAATTAGAAATGAATGATAAAATTCTATGATTTCTGTTCAAAAAAGCAAATGACCATATGTGTATTGTAGACACTATTCACCTATGAAACTAATCAGCACGGTTCATGCAGTTCTTTGTAATTAAATGATTATCGGGAAGCATTGAGATCTTGAGATGTACGGCAGAAGTCATGCTGAGGCTTCAGTTGCTGGTAGAGGTAGGAGGGATAACTCTAATATACATAGCAGTGATTGCACCACGTGTCATACTTGGGAGAATGTTCATTTATAGGGTACTGGGAGGGTGGAAACAATAGCGGTAACAATTTGTAGCACAAGCGGCAACAGGGCTAATTGTGAAGATCAAAATTATGCAACAAAGGTAATTACAACAAACCAGAACTTGCAACAAACACAATAAACAACATAGTTGTATCAAAAACATTTACAAGACAAAAACTTCTGACATCACCGCTAGAGGAATAAAAGGACGTTTAATTTCTAATAACAAAGGAGGCTTCAAACTGGAAGCAAATGTAGACTAAGTAACATTAAAAAGTAGGAATGGGGAAAAACATTCACAACGCGAGTTTACCAACTAAGGTTTGCAGACACAGGTTGTCACGACAAAATATCGGTAAATGTAAATGCCAGCTGGTAGTAGTTATATGCATGAAAATTCAATGCGTGAAGCAGCAAATGCACATTCAACGCATGCATTTCTGTCCCTAAACTAATAAATTTCTTGCCAAATGGTGACTTGAGCGAACTCTCAACTGTCACCAAGAAGTGAAATATTTAAGAACCAAGCAATTGGATCTCGGTTCCCTCATGAACAATAACGGCCGCCGTACCATTTATGAAAATTATTGCATAAACGTGAAGATTCCTCCATGCTTTATTCATGCACAGCAAACAACGTTCAGCTCCAGTTCAAAATCTGGCAAATATACGTCAATGAGAAACCAATGGAGAAGATCGCAAGATTTTATGTCGAACAGGCATTATGAATTTCAATCTCACATATATATTACTTGCGATGTGTTGCTTGTAATGTTATAATATTGGTGCCGACAAACCAAGTCATTGATTGCTGAGATAATAAAAATCTGATTGGTACACAAGCGAGCTACTGCGAACGTAACAACCATGTTAAATGAATCAAAAAATATATTTTTATTTCGTCATGCCGGCAAGATGATTTACATCTGTAAGATAATTTTTTCACGACTAACTTCCAGTGCGATGCATCCTAAAAGACAGAACGCACAGTAAGATTTATCCGTTGACAGTTCGGTGATGAATGCTATGATATTGATGGCATTGATCCCCATGAACAAAACACTACTATACTAAACTTCATGCAACATTCACCACCGCAATCTCGTAACAATCCCCTCTGCTACACTAAATTACCGCACTGTATCTTATTGCGTACGATTCCGACCGCTACAGTGATAATCATCAATATTCAAGTCAATGAACATACGATTGTGTACGCAGTAGTTGGTCTAGTGAGACTAGGAGCTTATGACCATCTTATGTCATTATGACATATGATCATATGATATGATCATATGATATGATCATATGATATGATCATATGATATGATCATATGATATGATCATATGATATGACATATCATTATGACCATCATATGTGTCATGCTGAAGACCATCGCAAATGATGGCTTAGGGAGTGTGAGGATGATAGCAAGTCTCGTGAGGAGTGTGAGGATGATAGCAAGTCTTATGAGGAGTGTGAGGATGATAGCAAGTCTCGTGAGGAGTGTGAGGATGATAGCAAGTCTTGTGAGGCGTGTGAGGATGATAGCAAGTCTTGTGAGGAGTGTGAGGATGATAGCAAGTCTCGTGAGGAGTGTGAGGATGATAGCAAGTCTTGTGAGGCGTGTGAGGATGATAGCAAGTCTTGTGAGGAGTGTGAGGATGATAGCAAGTCTCGTGAGGAGTGTGGGTGTCACTCTTAGTCCCATATAAAGTGTGAGTGTCACTCTCAGTCTTATAATAAGTGTGAGAAGCACTTCTAGCCTCATACGAAGTGTGAGGATTAGTCTTAGTCTCATAATAAGTGTAAGCATCACTCTTAGTCTCATACGAAGTGTGAGAGTCACTCTTAGTCTCTTAGGAAGCGTGAGGATCACTCTTAGTCTCATAAATAACAAGTGTAACCATCACTCTTAGTCTCTTAGGAAGTGTGAGGATCACTCTTAAGTCTCATAAAAAGCGTGAGCATCACTCCACGTAGCTAGAGACCACGCAGCGTGAGGTGGAGTGAAGAGTATACCTGAGTTCGCTTCTCCATGACTTCAATATCCCTGCACTCTTCATTGTGCTGGTGGTCCACGGTACATTTCTGCAGCGGCAGCGTAAAGGGCAGAGAGAGCAGGGTACAAATACGGGTACGTCGGGGTACGTAGTACGTGCCCGGGCGATTTAGGGTACAGGCACGGGTACGTCGCACATGCCCGTGCCGGTCAGGGTACAGGTACGTGGTACGTCGCACGTGCCCATGCCGGTTAGGGTACAGGTACGTGGTACGTCGCACATGCCCGTGCCGGTTAGGGTACAGGTACGTGGTACGTCGCACATGCCCGTGCCGGTTAGGGTACAGGCACGTGGTACGTCGCACGTGGTACGTCGCACGTGCCCATGCCGGTTAGGGTACAGGCACGTGGTACGTCGCACATGCCCGTGCCAGTTAGGGAAATTGCAGGGGCAAGGGGCATGCCTTCCAACATTCCTAACATCTCAAGTCAAAATAGGGTGAGAAATATTCGCTAACAATCATCATTACGGCAAAACAGACGAGCACGAGCACCATCACCATCATGCCTCACAACATTGCAGACATCCTTGCAATCATCCCCACATAATGAAAGTATTCATAAGATATCATAAAAATAATTACATGAATAGTTGTGTCAGTCTGGCAGACATTCAGAAAGGCGATGTTGGTCTGTGGAAGATTCTCTACCACTGGCCTCCTTGCCGATTACGAACCAAATATTAACGACTAGTTGCGGGTTTCGAACTCGCTGCCAGAATCATGGTGTTCTTAACCACTCAGCAACACCGCGTTTCATGTTCTATGAACATGTTCAGAATAGAACACACTCTTGTTCACACAGAAATAACCACTCGCCGACATAGAATCAAGGCCACCTAAGTTTTGAATGCAACTTGAATATATTCTCTAGTTACCGAATTGAGGAAACAGGGCGCGCTTTACGCATAATGAAACCTATATTCTCGAGTTAATTTGGTTGCTAATTTCGCGAAGTCTAACAGAGAAAAAGTAACAGAATTGCAATCCGGCCAGGCAATCAAGACGTTATTCCAGCACTGGAATCCAAGTAGCATCAACTCCATTCAAAACTAAATTCGAACTGAGGAAACAAAATACAATACCGGGATTGGTCGCTCAGGGCCCATGGACAGCAAGCACGAGAATCGAGGTTGAACCATTCATAGCAAGGAATTTATTTCGAATTTTGAAGATAATGCGACACATTCCGTCTAAGCTGAGAACACTGACAATGTCAAGGGAGACGAAACGAGCATACATTAAACTTGCGTGACTGTTACTGCTATCAAAATGCAAATAGAAGAACAGTGATCTAGTGTCACGATCAGGGATCACATCGCGGCCGAAAAAATTGAACTCGAAGCAAATTGATGGTAAGGCGTGATTCAGACGAGCTTGCTACATGATTAAAGAATTGAAGCTTTAATAGTATCAAATAGTTGTAGAAATATTTTGTGATGAACGACCGCCTATCCGATATCGTAAGTATTATCGTGAATACAACTCGAAGATTGACCTCAGGTCCCAAAAATGAACCACCGAACGCATCCAGAGGTGCGGGGTTGAGAACTGGACAGAGAACGATCTCTTCATAGCTCGGTTAGTGAGGTATTTATACAGTTGCAGCCACATTCATAAAATATATTTATAATGTGCGTTTTCTTTTTTCGACACTAAATGAAAGTTCTCCACACCAATGGCATAACCATTAGGTCATCACATACGTACATTTAATACTCATACTAAGAGAAGAGGGTTTACAGCGATAGCTCATTTCTAAGAAATAACCTCGGGTAATTTCTCAACCCCTACAACACGAAACAAGTTTTGAGGCACATGATATTTTAGTTTAGAGTTCTCAGTAGGCCAATAATAAGAAGACATCACGTACCTGGATGCGTCGCCCCATGGTCATTTCCAGGTAAAATTCACGGTACCACAGCTGGCTCAGGTCACAGCACTGTTGCAGCGTTTCTGGTTTAAAAAAATATATATTAGTCCCTTGATCTCATGGAAGAACCTATGAAATACTTTTCAAGGTAAGCAGAGGAAAAGATCATGGTAAATATATTAATTTCCCTACTATGACTATCCTGAATTCAATTTTTTCCCCCGAGTTTACGTGTTAACTGATGGCACGGTTGAGCAAGTGACCGACATTTACCTCGCGTCGCTAAGCTTTTCTTTTATCAAACATTCACTGCTATTCTGAATTTTCTTTACTTCAGAAATCGGCCAATCAAATCCATCTTCACAACGGCATTCGCAGTATGTACCCAATTTTCGATAAATCTTTGTGCGAGCTTTTGATTTGAAACATTGTCAGACAAGCATTATTTGGAACACAGCGACGTAACCTACCGCTGAAGTTGAGCAGGTAGCTCCAGATGAAAGAAGTCTTGTGGAACTCGTCTATAAGGACCAGGTGTTGCCCGTCCATCTCCTTGCGTAGAGTCTTCTTGCCGCCAGACTTGTCCGAGATGAGCGACTCAAGCATAGTGCGCACCATGTACAGCTGCGTCGACGACGGGCCTGGCGGTACATACAAACTTAGCTCTAACTCCTCACTGAAATGTGCTCGAAAAAGATGACACAAGCAACTGAAATATCCTTACTATTTACATTTGTCAAGTATATGTATATGATTAACAATAACCAATCGGATAATTGAAATGGGTAAAAAATATTCAAAGCAAGTGCATTTACGATGAAAATGATAACATTTCTTAGATGTCCAAGAAGTACAAATTTAAGTAAATACAATAAAAAAAACGCTAATAAATTCTCAAATAATAAAAGAAATATCATATCATATTATCATGTCTAAGCAATGTCTAGCAATATCATATTATCATGTCTAAGTATGTGTGTTCCAAGCCTAACACTGTAAATATAATGAATAGGAGCAGTTCGCGCACGTATCCGCTTAACTTATCGCGTCAGGATATATATACCTTGGAATTCTTTTATGATGAAAATATGCGACAGTGAAAGAATTGTGAGGAGAGCTACATTTGAATTTCACAGCTGGATGTTGGTTTAGCCGGGTCTCCTTCTAATTATTGTCAGCTCTCTTAAGGCAGCTGACTAATCAATTGCATTCTTGAATTCGTTAATCACCATTGATTTCCCCCCAATTAGAAGCAAGATAATATTCAATAATAGAGGTTAGTTATACGTACGGCACTTGATGATGAAAGGTTTCAACATGGAACGAGCAGCAAATATTCACAACCTACCGACGTTACGACGCCGAACTTTGATCTCGAAGCCTCCTTGGTCGGGATCCTTCTTGCCCTTGAGTGCGGGGTCCTCGCTGGGCTCGTAGCCCTTGATCCAGTCCGCGCTTGTCTCCCTCACCGACACCAGGATGCTGCAAGTGAGACATTGTGTAGGCAGCGTCAACTATAAAATACAGCACGGGCAGAATAGAAATATGTGGTCTAAATACACTAAGATGCGTATACAACAACTTTAAAAAACGATTAAGCAAATGGAGAGGAATCTACGTAAACTAAGTAGAACATAAAGAAGATACTCTTCAGATTTAGTGGAATATGAAGGGTGAGAAAAATAATCATGTTTTCAGAAATATAGCCCTAAACCAGGGTTATAGATTATCTGCGTCACATGAAAGTTTACCTCCTGAGCAGCTCCTTCTTGTTCTTGACTGCCTTGCGCAGCGGATCTCTGAGCGTGAGCTGCACGAAGTCCTGCAGTTCCTGGTAAATGTTCTTCCTGATGGAGTCTAGGAAGACGATCTCCATGCGAGCCATGAGCACCTGAAGCCCTTTGATCATGGCGATCACTTCGATGAGACCAAACTTCTCGTCAGGACTGTAGTTGTAGCGCGTAGCCTGCACATGGAAAAGAAAAATAACTCATACATTGACGTTATCACTCAGAGAGAAATTCCTACCTCTACGTCCCGAAGATGGGTAATGAAGGTCGAAATATGATGGAGAGTAATTGAGTATAAAAGAAAATTTCATCATTTAACCATATAAATTATAACTACCAAGCGGTCCATAACTGTGCCAGGCTTTATAATCATAAGCTGATACTGCTTGTCTATTAAGAGAAATCAAATATAAAAATGGTGAACGAAACATCAATGTTTCTGTAACTATACTAATGACTGTTCACTCCAAACCATCACTAAAGAAGCAGCAGCCCTCACGTTACCTCTCTGATGAGATTATAAAATGAATAGATAGATGGTTGAAGCGCACTAGGCTGATAGATGCATTCTTATTGCAAACCAACATTTTAGTGCCATCGAAAATTACTCCATAATATACTTTTGAAACAACAAAATATATGGGGTGCTACACATTTAAAAAAAACAACAAATTGAAACCGCTAATAAAAATCCGAGTAAGAAGGAACACCGGGACTGGTCGAATCGTCCTACTTGAAATCGCACACGACAATATTGACTAAACATAATACTGTATAAGTTAAAATTAAACTCTAGACGCACACTCTCCTATCTAAGGTAACAGGCGTAGATATGAATAAATATATTATTTGAATGTTTTAATGTGACTGTGAGCGAACTAACCCGTTCATACTCCTCTGCATCAATAGGACAGGTTTTGTTGGCATGATGGTCGGTGGGGTGCAGGAGCTTCCAGGAGTAGACCTCGGTGACAACGCTGGTCCAGTCGCTGAGCAGCATGAGGCCGCGCTGCGCCAGGTCGCTGATGTCTCTGTTCTCCGCGTCCGTGCGCGCCGTCTCTTTGTACGTTGTGATTACCTGCAGGCATGAGGCTCTCAGTGACGTTACATGGCAAATGGCATACTTACTTTATGCTAAAACTATATTCAACTGAACATAAATGAAGGTGAATAATTTCTATTCTGTATGTTGCTTCTGAATAGCAATTAATTACTTCGGTTCGGTGCAATTATAATATCGTTGCTAAAAGCCATATGCACATGATTAGGTACACATTTCAGAGCGATTCAAAAGACTTATACTATTTACCAGGCAAGCACTGGACTGAAATTAAACACTGATTGAAGCAGTCAAGCTTTCTTGCTTCCATCTCTAAGTAGCCATATTATTTGCCATTGAAATAATAATGACAGAACATGGACACGCAGATGATGAAGAGACAAACAACCACACCAGGCTACAAATGTATATTTATGGAGTAGCAAATGCATGCCTATGAAGTTACTAATGTATGTCAATGGAGTTACAAATGTATGCCTATGGAGTAACACATGCACATTTCTGGAAATGTTAATGTACGTAAAACTGTGAAGTTGCAAATGTATATATTTGGAGTTACAAATTCAAATCTATGGAACTCATGTGCTGAGATTGACCTCATTGCTGTAGCGGGCAAGGTCAGAGATGTACTTGATGCGCTGAGATTGACCTCATTGCTGTAGCGGGCAAGGTCAGAGATGTACTTGATGTGCTGAGACTGACCTCATTGCTGTAGCGGGCAAGGTCAGAGATGTACTTGATGTGCTGAGACTGACCTCATTGCTGTAGCGGGCAAGGTCAGAGATGTACTTGATGTGCTCCTCTCTGATGCGTGGCAGGTGGCACATGAGGCTAGCCTGAGGGCTGATGGTCGAGGCGCTGCACAGCGGCCACAGCTTTGCATCAAAGTTCTTGCTGCGCTTTATGTAGTTGAAGGGAGCGATCTGCATGTCCCCAAACAGGGGCACCACCTCCAGGTTCTGTATATAATTAAGTTAGGCTTGAAGAAATTCAGGTGAAGTAATTTCTGTTGAGCCTCATAAATGTAACTTCAAAAAGTTTTATTCTTCAAATAAAGATCAAATCAGTTTTCCTGCAAGTTTTCGAGAAAAAATGACCGATTTTTATTAATAAAAAAATTGTTACCACAACATTATATTGAATAATAAAATGTAGAACAACCAGCATGTTGATCACAAAGAACTTTTCATTTACATTTTGGAACTAGGTAAGCATTAAGGCCTAAAGAATTTCAAGAGAGACTTTAAGGGCATGTAAGATCAACTAATTTACATATCTGTCTAACACAGACTTCTAGTTAGTCACAGAATGAGTAAGGCCAAGAGTCATACCTTGAAGATCTTATCGATTTTATCAATACGAATCTTTTTCTTCTGATCAAGTTTGTTGATGTTGCAGCCGTCCGAGTCGATCAGGAAGAGTCCAAATCCCATAACCTTCACGAGCATCTGCTTCTCTTTTGGCGTCAGGTACATCTTGTTCTCAAACATGTGCACCGAGATATTCACCACCTCGCCTGGCACACATAAAAAAAATGTTATAGAGGAATTCAATCGTGAAACATTGCCATTTAGGAAGCATTAATTAAACTTTCCATGAAAAGAACGTCCCTTTGAAGTTTATACCAGTTATAGGCTAATTTTTACATTTATATCAGGTACATCTTGTAATTTCTTCAACTATTGATCAATTACGATCTTCAGATGGCAACTGAAACTCACAGAGTAGTTCTTCATGGGCCCCTATTGTCTGCAGCTTTTCTTTCAGCGAGTCGCGAACTTTGTTCTGCGTGGCTAGGAACATGCTCAGGTTCTGGCTCTCCTGTAAGCTCTGCGTGTCACTCAGAACCTTCAGAAACTGAGCAGCTCTGAAATTAACAGACAAACATCAAGATTTCAATGGTCAAACGGCCTTTTGAACAAACAGCAAAATCTAGAATTATACTTCCAAATATTATGAGGAAATTTTCATTAATATATTACTTGAAGCACTTAAAACTATTGATTTGATTTATATTCATTTAAGAATTTTTTACACATTCAGTGAAACTAAACTAATTGCTAAATCAACAAATGTTCCACCTTCGATAGGTTGAGTAGTCATTTTTAACACTGGATTTCATGTTCTTCAGTTCATCAAGAACAGCAAACATGTTGATGAACTTGCCCAGAGTCAAGAGGTAGGCTTCAGAGACAAAATCTTTCCGCTTTTCTTGATGACACAAACGTTTGACTTGGTTGCAGAACACTTCAATGGCTTTGTGCTAGAAGGGAGAAGGCAGTAAATTTTTTGAAAATATAAAATGAACAATAAAACAACTCTACTAACTGTCATTTTCAGAGGGATAACAAAAATTAGAAAAGTAAAATTTATGACTAAAATCACAAATGCAAAATTTACAACAGCATTATCACAAATAATGAAATGAAAACATGGTGCAACAATTATAGTTTTCTACATGAATGTAGATGCTGAACAAATTCAATGTCGATATGTTGAATCCTAAAATGTTAATAAATAGCAAAACTGGTGGTGTCAGAGCACCATTCACATGCAAACAACTAAATTCTTAGCTGTTGTGTACAAACCTGGAATTTCATAAACTTTGTGAGCTTCTTGACTTCTTCAGAGAGCACCTTGACAGTTTTCTCATATATCTCGACCCTGTTGGGCTGTTCATTGCTCTTAGGCTGAGGGATGGCACGACTGCAACAGCGCCAGGTGTACAGCATAACAGCGTGCTGCTCTCCTTCCTCAAGCAGCTTGTTCTGCAGGAGCAAGAAGCCATTTAGATTTAACTCTACAGTAATAGGAATAATAAATGGGTCCACAATATCTTCATTCAGTACATAGGCTTATACAAACCATTTATTAGGTAATATGCTACCCACACAGTAGCCTCTCAAATGCCCTAATTCACACCTAAGTTGCAACAAAATTCCTGAAAACCATTCCATGTAAACAACAAGAGTATATTATTATAAATATTGAACTTATCAATTTTTAAACAAATTCTATACACACCAGTTCAGCATGAGTAGCTGCTTCTTCCATATACTTGGCAATGCCAGTGACATATGCATTTCTGTCTTCGAAATTAGTGTCAAAGTTGGCAGTGTAGACCACAGAGCAGGACTGAGCTTCAACCATTGGCTGCTGGTCAGATAATGGCAAGTCATCCAGCACGTCCACATTACTGAGAGCGTCATCAAGGGAGACGCGTTCGCCAGCCATCTTGACACACACTCTGTTGATCAGAAAAACTGGTGAGCACAAAATCATACATGTACTAAATACTAATACTTAGCAGGGGTGTGACTAAATGATTTAACCAAATCCAAGTCATAGCTCAATAAAGAGCATATTTCACAGACCTGCCTCAGGCTGATTAGAGATTATCATTATCCAAAGTCCAAACTAATAACGTCTAATCTCCAATAGGCCTTTTAAGACATTTTTAAAACAGTGAATTTATTTGGGAAATTAATTATTAAATCAATAATTTTCTTTGTATAAATCAGTCTTATGCCATGGGAATGAATGAAGATGACTGCAAGCATAGGTGCTTTTGTCTTATTTATGGGTGGCTTGTGTACAATTTTTCCCATTTCATGTCTGGAGACTGGAGTAGTAAATCAGTCAGTCTTAGTACTGACTGAGACTAAACAGCCCATGCCTATAGACAAATGACAGTGAGACTACAGACTTGTGTTTTTGCAGGATTGCAGCCTGTGTGGCTGTGCCTAATAACCTGGCAGTCCTGGTGTAGAATATATCTACCTTTTGAGCCACAACCAGAGCTTTCCAGCCATTTTTGGAACCATGAGATTCCTGCTAGATTAATAATTAATTACATACCTTCTATCTAATTGTTCTATTGTTCCAACTTCCAAGTCTATTGACAGGCTGCAAATGTACTGAAAAAATTTGTAACTTTGGAGTTGCAAGACAATAAAGCAGGATTGAATTTTTCCTACTTGTTTATCATAGAAATCTTGCAACCCTAGAGCCTAGAGTGATAATTTTTTGATGCATTTCTATTCTACCAAAGAATGATAAAATGGCCTATTTTCACCCACAACTGCTATTGTCAAAAATTACCTGTGAAGTGTGAAACAATCATTTGATTCATTTTTAACCACGATTTAAGGAATCATCTGCCTGATATTTCAAATTAATAATAAATAATAATAATAATAATAGCGGTTTCAGCATTATTAGGCCGTAGGCCTGTCGCCGATTCTTAACATCGCAGAACATTCACAGCATTTTGCGGTCTCGAACTCGCAACTCACTGCTACAATTCTGCTATGCTTAACCGCTAAACCACCTGGCCTCCTTGCCGATTCTGACCAGAAACTGGCGCACAGAGCTGGGATCAAACCCGCGCCTCTCTGTGGCCTGCGCCAATCTTGGTACTCTCACTACTCTGAACTTTAACCACTGGGCCACCCAGCCCAGTGGTTATTAATTAGTGGTTAAATTAGTTGCAACTGTCCTTTTATGATGCAATAATAATACAATTTGACCCAGTCAATGATCATTTTCAACTTTCAGCTGGTAGGTACAAGTTTACCATTAGCAGATTAGGAAGTAACAATAATTATATAGTGTCAAAAGAGTGATACAGACTAACAGAGTCCCCGACCCCACTCCAGTCCCAAGTTCACGCAGACATTCTCACAATAGATGCTATTCATACCGAATCATTTAAGAACATAATATTACAACAGAACAATATATACAAATGTTACTACCTCACTCAGTGCGCAGTGAGCGTACTTTAACTAACAAAATAATCCAATGCCCCCGGCATCAAGGTCGCAATACAATTTTCAACCAACGCCCTGATCTGACAAGACAACATTGGACTCTTCCGCTTTTATTTACGCGTAGGCGAATACGTAATTTGAGTTCAAGTTTAAAGCTTCGCTTTCAATCGTTCCATACATTGTAAAAAAGCAAAATTTTTAGCAATGTAGCAATGAAAATTTTGTATCATTCGATGAGTTACATCTTATGCATTGCTAGCCAACAAAATGTATTTATTTCACGAGCATGAACTATAAGCTTTTCTACATCCGTTATATTGTTGCTCCACAATCAAGTTTATGGTCAATATTTCTCGCAACACGAAAAATGCAAACACACGTTACTCTGTGCGCTGTAATAAATTTTTCAAAATAATGCCTTTTACTCAAGCAAACGTATTACATCGTTGGCACTCCGAGTATGAACGCGTTCAAGAACATACTAGATAAAGCTATGTAAAAATATATGCTCAGACTTGAAATGCCTAGCACCATGTCGAACCCGGTGGAAGTCTAGCAGCTATTTCAAACTATCGTCAGTCTCGAAAAAAATTCGGTCAAAGGACATGCTTTTGGATCTTCTGTGAACAAGTCACGAAAAGTTCAAGAATCGGCGACAGGCCACATCAGGCCTACTCTACTCTTCAGCGCCAACATCACTATGTTATGTTATTTTATACCGTTATACGTTACTGATTAGTTTAGCAAACAGTCTGAAAACACAAATGAATGCAAAAACCAAAACAGAAGGAAAATGATCTAATATGATACTTGTAATTGATTTTTGTTTTTTTCTCACCATGATTTACTCTGTTAGAAAACATTTAAATGCAGTCTCTTACAGACTCCACGTACATGAAATGTTTGTTCCTTTTAGAATAGAAATGTCGGCACTCAAGAAAAAGGCCCATGGCCTGTTGCCGATTCTTGTACTTTTCGTGATTTGATCCCACAAGGGATCCGGCCTTATGAAACCGATTTTTCCATAACTGACGAATTTATTGAGAAAGCTGCTGGATTTATTGCAAGGCTTGTAACGTGCTAGCATTTTAAGACTGAACATATGCTCCTGCATAGCTTCGCCTTGTCTGTTTTTGAAGATGTTCATACTCGGAGCGTCAACAATGCTATCAGGGAGGCTGTTCCACATGTCGGTGACTAGAAGCGAGAAGAAATGTTGTCGCAGGGATGTGTTGCAACGTAGTTTTTTTTTTTTCGTTTATAGCCGTGGCCCCTCGTGTTGGTTCTTGTTTCAAATTCTAGTAATCCTTCTGGGACCTTGTATAAACCGTGGGTATACTTGTATCAAGTTGTATGCTTCAATGCGGGCACCACGCAGACGTCGATATTACGGAGGCTTGGAAGCTTCATAATTTTTAATAGTTCTTCATAAGGCTTGCCTATTAATTCCGGAATTATCCTTGTTGCACGTCTTTGAACGCTCTCGACTAAATTTTTCTCGTTTGTTCCTATTTGTTCCTTACTTATCGGTTCTATCACTCCAGAGTTCTACTACTATCGAGTTTTTAGGCCTTTTACATGAATGGACATATGTAACCCAGCATATGGGCGGGATCGAGTTCAATGGAAAATATGGTACATATTTCGATGCGAGTGATGAGGGTTAAAATTTGAGAATTGGAGAGTCTTGATAAACGCACAACAATGTTTTTCGAACATGTAATCTTACTTCAAAAATGTGTTCTCAATATCATTATTATATGCCACAAGCAAATCCGTGGTTTGTTTGTTGGTTTACTTATAGACCTTTGGAGACTCCCACTAAATATACAAATAACTGTGCTTGATTAGATTTAGATAGAGTATCATACATACGCATTGCCTTCCCCGGTGATGAGTGACGGAGTCTTCACAGCAACGTTCTTCTTCAGAATCTGCTTGTCCAAGATGTTCTCAGTGGGCGTCATTTTAATTGGCGAAATGCTGGAGAATAAATAAGTGACAATTAAATGGACAAAAAGTTCCATGAATGCGCTGAACTAAGGAAAAATGACAATATAACATATAGCAAATGACCAAAAAATTATTCAAAGCTTGAAATATTCAGAAAGTTTTCTCAGAGCTATGTAATAAGGTGACATTTTTGTAACAGTGTATGTGAATGCGTCAGGGTGAGAAATAATAATGTAATTTATCATCATGAGCATCAAAACCTCTGCAGGGATGCTTACTCTTCAACCATTTCGGAGGGGTCGAGCTTGAAATGAAAACCTTTCCGAACAGTGCCATACTTCTCGATGACAGCCAAATCTTGCATTCTGGATGTTGGTTGCGAGGGTCGACGAGTGTTGCGGGACAAAGTTCCGTAGTGGTTGGCCATTTGGTGGAACGAGCGTTGGTCGTGGTCGCGAGGGTCGGGTGATGGTGGTATACCGACACCACTAAGGCGTGGTAGCGTTGCCATGTGGGAGGGTAGGTTGTCGCCGCTCATGGACAGGCGCGCCAGCACCGCAGCCTCAGATGATCTGCCAGGGAGACTTGAACAAGTGAGGCAAACCCTGATTTATATCCTTGTTATCGGATGAGGTTTGAAGAAATGCACGAAGAAATGTGATTTATGGTCACTAAACAGCTTATCACATCGGAGCCCGGGATTTGGGAATCTTGTTATCACAAATCACGTCCAGTTTGTCTTTCCCAGCAAAATTTTTCCAGTAGGATTGGTAGTCTAATTGCAGTTCTATATTTAATGTAAAATCAAGGCAAACTCTTCTTCAATTAGCGTATGTAAATTTTATTTTCATCGACGGAATTCGAGGCAACGGGATTCCAAAACTGCAGGGATTATTTAATCCCAGTCAACACGTTTAAATTATCAGTTTAACATAAAACTCCTGTTTGATTCCCTTCTTGAAATTCTAAAAAAATTATTTCCTTAGTAATACATTTTATTAAAATATATCAATTTATAATTGAATTTCAATTTCTTGCTACTTTTTCATCCTCGTTTGGCAGTGGCTTACTGCGAGTATAATACTACGCATAATAAATTTTAAGCCCCACATAATATACCGCACTATAAGTAACACCTACGCACCCAAACAGCCCCTACATATTTCTAGAGCCAGGCTTCAAACACACACACAAACAAGCAAACAGTGACAAATAAATATAAGATATGCATGCAGAAGTTAAACAATGTGGAAAAGAGAATGCGTTTATAAACTAACCGCCTCATCAAACTGGGCTGACTATTAGTCAGAAGTTTTTCCTCCATGTTAATTTTTGAATATGTTCTGGAGTCGGTGAACTGTTTTCGGTCCACGGAGTAGGTGGAGGTGGCCAGGCTGCTCTGCTTCCTGAGCTCGTACTCGCTCGGCCGTCTCGCGCTCGGGTGCTGCCCCGGAGGCATTTCTGGAAACCAAACAATCGTCTTCTGTTTTCGTAAGAATTTGTTATTATTAGTTTTCTAATTTATATCAATAGTTAGTGTAAACTTTTATCTTATTTTTTCCCGTGATTATTGTATTGGATATTGAACTCTAATCCCGCTATCATAGATTAAGATAAGGTGATAAGATGGAGAACCCTGGTGTCATATAGGAGTTGGTACGTCAGTTATTGGGTTAACTCAGGGCACGCTGCTGCGTCATAAACAAATAAAATATTTTTACTGAGCCAAATACAATTGTATGTAGTCTGATGTGGAGCGTCAGTTTTCTGGCTATAATCTGCGCTGGCCTGACAGAACAGGCGCCTAAATTAAGTTAAGTAAAGTACATTCTTTCATCGTACTTAGTTGAAATAAGTGATGTTCTCAGAATCTTATTAAAATCATTGCCGGATTATAAAGCACTAATAATAAGTTTGTTGAAGTCCCGAAGTCAATGAATAACAAATATTGGGCTTTGAAAGTCTGTTAATATATTTTAAGGGAACTCGATGATTGTTTAAATGTCATTGAGACTTGAGCGGAATTTTCGTAAAGTCGCCGCGCTTCACGATAAAAATTATTTAACTCATGACTAAATAACTTTGCTCTAGATATATTTAAACAGTATTGGAAACATTATGCACCAATTAAAATCAATTATTTTTGGTGTCTTATTTCTCTCATTTGAGGGCGGCGAGTGAGTGCAGTGACATCACGAAGGCGACATTAGCGTCCTAAACTAAAGGCGAGTTTAGCGTCCTAAAAGGAAAAATTTTCACGTTGCATTACGTCACATTTGTTTCCGTCCAATGATGCCATCGTAATGCACAGTTGCATCTTTAATTCCGATTATTATGAGGTTGTTCAATAAGCTTAAAAACTTTACGAATACAGTCGAATATTAAGAACTGCCACTCCCAAACTACTAATTAAAATCAGGCCAAACATTAATTACGAGTTACAGCAAGCGTACCAACATAATAAGGACATGGAGTATCAATGTTAGTTCACTCATCACTCAATCGGTAAACTTATTTAACGTCGTAAAATTAAAAACTTATTCACGCGAAAATTTATGCAAGGAAATAAAATGCTTATTGAAGCAAATAAATGTTAGTGATAATGACAACTTATTTCTCAGTGTTCAAATCCAGGATTTCCACCGTTCGAACTCTTCTATTCTGAGCACGCGAGAACATCGTTCTATGGGCATTTCGACTTGGTTAAAAGTATAATAAAGGAATCACTTCCCATGATGCACTCAAATCGTGAATGAATTCGATCATCTGTGAATATGATTCTTTATTCATGACTCACCTTGACCCATGACCCATGCCCCTACAGACGATGAAGAACTGATTCGGTGGTCGCTAGAGTACCTGTCCTGGACAGCATCATGATCATATCGGCTAGCACGCTGTCGGTGGCTGTTTGCCGACACTGAAGAAGATCCCGAATAACGATTAGGATATTCGTGCGGGGGTGGGGGAGCCGGGAAATCTGAACTATAAGCAGACGTTCTATAGGCATCCTGACTTGGCTCAGTGAAATGGTAGTCTCCGGAGTCAATGCTTCTCTTTCTCGACTGGTAGTGGTCCAGACGAGAATAAGTTGAGTCTGGGTCTAGGGCCTGGCTCGTCAAGTAGGGAGGTGGAGGATAGACATAAGATTGTCGTGCGTCGCCGCTGTACTCGTGATCTTCAGGTATAGGAAAGTCTTCAGGAGGTGGAGGATAGTCAAATCCTTCACTTACGTCCTCTGCCAGGGGAGAGGGGGGAATAATACCGATATTGTGCCGCGAATGGGCTGGTGGCGGTTGACCACCGTATCGCGACATGTTCCACTCGCTGCCAACACTAACACGAACAAATTAATTGTTGTCTAGTTCAATGTAAAACCATCACTTAGTCGATTCTAAAATTCATTGTATTTTATAGCGAAAAAATAACTCGTACAGCATTTTTAGTAATATTCTCTTCTAAAAAGTCTCTAAAACGTGAAAGGCGCAGCGACGCTTCTATCACCGTCTACGATCTCAAGACTGACTACTGCTTCTCTGCCTAGCGCTGGCATATCTAATCTACTAACACGGGATGTCTTATCTATACTACGACTCCACTTGCTTTTAAGCACACAAGCTCCAGCAACAAAGACTGCTAAGCTTAATTACACTCGTCAAAAACTTGCAGCAGATTATTACATGTTCAGGTGCTGTAACAACATGTAAACACAATATTACATTTTGTTCTTTCTCGCTTTTACATTTAGAAAGATTCCTGTAAACAACCGTTGTTTCGAAACTAGCTGGTGAAATTCAGAGGCTTGATGATTTAAATCTGACTTTTGAACGGTTAAGTGGCCGTTTTTACTTCCACACATAATTACTGATCGTTGAAATTATTTTTTCAGACCGATCACCTGCATCAAAATTCAATAGATTCCAATACCCATTTATATCCACAGTCCACGGATAATTTGTCCCATTTGAGGTGTGATATTAATTCCTCCCTTTACTGCACTTATGTCTAGATGAATTAGGAAATCTCCGGAATAACTTTCAAAAGTATGACTTTAATTCACGGAAATATCATCGATCATACTCGCCATCCATATAATAATTATTCCTCAGGAGATTCTGATGCTAAGCAAGAGTGTTTGCAGTTCAGGCTTAGGATATGCGCATATTTCACGCACAAATTTATCCTGTTGTCCATGTTGGTGCTGTGGTTCATTGTAATAAGTAATTCCGTACACATCTCTTTTGTCAACATTAAATAATCGACCGCACATGCAGATGTAAATCATAAATGTTTCCGACGACTCATGCAAGTCTTAATTGACTATCACACTCTCTTTGATATCATTAAAATTCGGATTTATTATATCAAATAAGTTAAATTTTAGTATCTTCAACTAACTAAACTAATATTCACTATCTGAACTCAAAAATTATCAACTTGCAACTTTCATCTTCATATATGAGTATATTAATTTAAACAGTTGAGATACTCTGGCAAGTTTCCCATCTAAACATGCCCACAAACATACTGAAGTATTTTTCATGTGTAGTGTTGAATTAACTGCTGTGAGTTTTGATCGCTAAAAAGGAAGTTCCAACGAACGGTTAGTAGATCATTACCATGCGGTGGTAATGAGATCGCATGATCGATCAAGCAGCAGTAGAACATATGTTTGATCATATGCACTCAAACGTCTTATCGATTGCTGTCACTATGATCGTTATTGAATCGATCCTCGAACAAGCAATTAATTTGCTGTACCAATACGATTACACGCGACGGAATCCATTGTGTGTTCCACTTTTTACCTTTAATTTAGGCCTTGAAATGCGTATCTTGAAAATTACGGCAGATGAAATGAAATTGCATCTCAATGTGGGGAGCGGCGTTTGTAACATGAATAAAACATTTTAAAAATGATGAACTCGCTCAAAATCAATCGATGTTTACGCAGCCTTATTTGCGAGTACTGAGTCAAAATTTATATGCGTAAATCCACCACAGTATTGGTCTCTTGCTGAGTTATATGGTCAGCGTATTAACGTATTAACATGAGTCATTGACGATGTATAATGTCCTGTGACTGGTTAAAATTCAATTTTACGTGCATGGAGAACACGTACTATTTTTAGCGCATTTTCTCATTTATGGAAAAAATGCACTATTGTGCTCGCCATGTCCGTCTGTCTGTCTGTCCGTCTGTCCGTGACCTCAAGTTTTCGTCGACGAGAAAATGCGCCCTCTGTCACTCACTGCATTGAGTACTGAGTTATATTTTTTGGCTTTGAACTTTTTTCATGTAGTAAAAATTACCCCAATTAAAAATTCTTTCAATACACAGTTGAAAGCCAGTTTCAGAGGTTAATCTGTTGGGATACTGCGCTATACTAGCTGAGATCTATTCCGGATCTCGGAATAGTAATAAAAATGCTGCGCGATTTAATGCCGATTTGCTATGTCATTCACGAAGTCACCGTTTCTCAAAACGAAGCACTGCCCGTGCAACGTTTTTTTTTCCTCCCTGCATTTCACTGCTCGCTTTCCTACACATTTGAGCTCAACTATCAGTTGCGTAATCACTAGAAGCAAAAGGATGAAAAACTCCTGATTTCTTGTCATAAAGGGTAGCAATGACCTAATCGAGAGGCGTACGAGTATAATGCTTAAGTGTTTTGTAGTGTATATATTAGTATTAAGAGGCAGAATTCTCCTGTTTATATGCGTATGATTAAAGACAGGGAATCAAAATGAGTAAAAAGTTAAAATAAAGATGGATGGCGAGTAAAAAGCAGCATTTCTCCTTGAGGCCGGTGTAGTCTATAAATTTGTCTTCAAAGAAGGTTGTAGACTTCTTCATCATTTAGAACAGATTTGAGTAATTGGACTAACAACCACGATATCGAGACTGCTTCACCTGCCACCTTCAGTCTGGAGGGCAGAGAAACCCTCTGAGACAAACTCACAAGACCGTCGCTGGCACCGTGCTAGTGGAACCCACCGACATCGTCATCATGCAGAGGTGCATAACGTTAACCGACCAACGATTCTGGAATGGTAGCCTGCCGAAGAACACCACTGCCCTGGATGTAATGGACCATCATGATTCCTGTCTTCCGGAACGTAGCCTACAACACTTCTGGACAATCATATCTATGCCGTGGGTCGAACCAGCCCTCGGTCGAACGGCCACTCGTCGAAGGACTATAATTTTTGAACAGAGCTATGCTATCTGAAACCTAACCTCAGATGCGGTGAACGTAAAATCACGTAATTTAACAATGCCCGGAAGTCATATTCGATCAGCGGCCTGGTGGTGCACGGCGCAGGTTTTATGCAAGGCCGGAGGAGGACAAAGACGAGTGGTTCACGGCTGATTGGTGGATGTCCGGAGAGATCCAAGGCGTTTGATTCAGGGCTTATTGGTGCACAAAATTGGTGGTGCACAGCTGCGCTGCCTGCTGGAACCCTCGTCTCTTTGGATTGGACCCCAGCTATATACAAGGTGTTTCAGAATTAAGTAACCCTTTTAATTTGTTAATAAATAAAAAACTAAGAACGTTATGAAGTTGAAACTTGTTTTATTTAAAAGAAGAACATTTTCATGGTAATATTGTATCATAGTTACGTCATTATCCTGTATAGCTTGCTAAATTTGTGTTTAATTATCAAGCCTTAAATTTTCATCATGATTCGCTACAGCAAAGAAGAAAGAACAAAAATTATCGCTACAGTCAATAACGATGTCAATAACAGAAGTTCAACGTGATTACAGGATCCATTTCAAAACAAGGATCCTTCAAAAAACACATTTAAATATCTTTATCGAAAATTTGCGGATATAAAAAATTTGCACTCTCGTCAGAAACACTAATGAAGGTTATGAGAGCAACGAAGAGAAGAGCCCTATTTTGTCAAAACAATTGTGGTGGGCATTTAAAAGATATTATATTTAAAAACTAGGATACAATATTACCATAAAAATGTTCTTCTTTTAAATAAAACAAGTTTCAACTTCATAACGTTCTTAGTTTTTTATTTATTAACAAATTAAAAGGGTTACTTAATTCTGAAACACCCTGTATTTCCAAACTACCGGATTTGTCTAAAATTTGAGATTGTTCGCGTAAGGAATTCCAGGCTCGAAATATTTGTGTTGTATCCTATTTACGGGTATTATTTACTTATTTTCGACAAGATTTCATTATTCAATGCTTCAATTAACTTGAAAATGATTGTTGTTACAATCGAAACGTCGTTAATATATTATTATTACTTAAAAATATTATTACTTACTGAATCTGCCTTTTGATGCACCAACGTCATCTAACAAATAGTTCGATTCCTTGAAAATTGTAATGCATTCTCCGGTCATTAATCGTACGCATATGATACATATGAAACACACAATTTTTTCGCAGTTTGAAACCTGAATGCGTCATAGGTGACTACCTATCGTGATGTGAGTGTGAAAAAGTGAATGTATAAATTATTCGTTTTACTGGTAGCATTCAACAGTTAAAAACTGCTTCATGGTGATGCTGATACCCCGGTGACTTGAGGGAAGCGTTTCACCCAAAATTATACATAAAACCTAAATCTAAGTTCTAAATAAAACATACAGCGCGGCCTCTACAGCAGTCGTAGTCAGGCCTTCGTTGATGTTCCGAAGGTAGAGAGGGTAACGGCGGTGAAATCATCGCGAGTCAGGGAATTCCACCGTCTTCTTGTCCCTTACCGGAAAAATGAGTAGCGGTAAATATCTACCTTGAATGGAGGCCTCTATTGGGGGGCCACTAGTGCCGCGAGCAGTAGGCTAAAGCAATCCGGGTGGAACTGGCATTTTATATGCTATCATCTGTGCGAGGTGTCATGGTCAAGTTTTGATGTCATCGCCTGGGCGCTTCAGTGTATATAGGCTTTTGTCATGAAAAATGAGCTGGCGCTCTGAGCAGGACTGCTTACAGCAGTTATTCTACATATTCCCACCTCAATGCCAGTCGTGTTTTATCCATTAAGGCGCGTGCTGAGAGCGGCGAGACCTCGCATATAGGTTTGGCAGGGTCCTATGAGTTTCCTCGCTAAGTTGGTTACCTTTACTCTACTCCTAAATGAGAGAACATGCTGAATTTTCCCATGTTTATCCAGCTATTCATTTGCAAACGGTGGACAGTAAAAAATATACAAACTTTGTATTAAAAGTTATGACGAAGGAAAAAACAAACAAACTCTGCATATAAATGCTCATGAATTGTGCGACTTCTACACTTGTTTCAAATGTCAATGGGTGATAGTTTTTACTCTCCACTGCTTGTTATACCCGGACTTTCTTGATCAACCTCATATTGTTGTAGATATCTGTCACCAAAACTTGTTAAAAACAAGAATTCTCGCAATTGGAGAGGAAATAGCGAAGACGCACAGTCCTGGCGATAGCGTTGTTTAACCCTCTACCGCCGTGTGTCACTCTTCGGGAACATATATATTTGACTGAAGTAACACGAGGACGTTTAATTGTACGCAATAGAGAACATTTTAAAGTTGTCGTACGTAGCGGCAACCATCAGTGCAAGTCATTTTGTGCTCCCTAGCGACGTACCCTCTTTTGGGGTAGACTTGTGTGACACCATTGCTCCGCTTCCTTTTTAGGCGGGATGGGGTTGAACAGGGGGGTTAAAGAATATGGAGACACAGACGTCATGTCTGTGAGGCGTACGGCCTACGGGAAGCGTCTACCCTCAAAATTATCTGCTAAACTAAATGGCCAATCGTTTTGAAACTTTGCATTCCTTTGTAAATCAATAAAATAAAAACATTTGATGCAATGAATTTTTGAAAAAAAAATTAAAGAAAACGCGAAATGTTTCTTCTCGCTTCGAATCACCGACATGTGGAACAGCCTCCCCGATGACATCGTTGGCGCTCCAAGTATGAACGCGTTCAAGAACAGACTAGATAAAGCTATGGAAAAATATATGTTCAGATTTGAAATGCCTAGCTCCTTATCGAATCCGGTGAAAGTCTAGTAGCTTCTTCAAACTATCGCCAGTCATGAAAAGATCCGGTCAAATGACACGAGTTTAGATCTATGAACAAGGCACGAAATGGAAAAGAATCGGCGACAGGCCACATCAGGCCTACGCTTCAGAGCCGACATCACTATGTTATGTTATGTTAAAATGAGGGTTCTTTATAAATCCTTCAATTTACGTGCTACAACATCAGGAGACATATCATTCGATTTGTGAAAGCAAATCAAATCAGAATAAGTGGGTTAAACTTCGAGTTCCTATTAGTAATTCATTTTTCTATATTTTAATTTTGACGAAGATGAAAAAACAGTTTGCAACATACTCTCTTATCATCTGATATTATATTAGCCAATTACGATATCGTAATCCTAGTTTAATGAAGAGAACAGTTTTCGGACAACACCAATCGAGATTTTTTAAATTATCAATAGAATTTTTCCTTCAGAATGAAACATAATCCCTATTATTGAATTTTAGACGCGAGCTGCGAACTTCATCACAGCTTTCCAAAACTGTGGTTATTCGTTGCTTTTAGCAGCGTTGCCAGATGGTATATTTCTATACCAGATTTCACAAATCTGGTATTTTCAGGAGGTGTCTGGTATGAACATTTTAGATCTGGTATATTTGCCTAAATCTGGTATTTTTCTGGTATTTTCTGACTTACTGCAAGATTTACTGCATTAAGTTCCACCTCTGAAGTTTGAATTTCCTCCAACGTAGGCATGGATTATATAGATTACCATAAGAGTGGCGCGACTAGAGGTTTCCCGCCATTGTTGGAACCGCAAGTTTACCGCTTGATAAAATAACCCCAATTTAATTGTTATCATTTAACAAAAGTACTTAGTGCAATATGAGCAAGAGAGTGATGATCCTCGATTAATTACTGATCAGTGATGAACTGATGATATGGCCTTGGACGAGTGAGGTTGTCGAACCGATCTCTGCGACGCAAGCTCCACCATTTTTGTTTGGTGGTTTTGAATTCTAGAGTGCCACTTATTGGGGTGCACTTGAATTCTGGGGTGCCATTCAATATTTCACTGATCTTGACAATTATCATCCATTCAGGGAACTGGCTGCCTACTGCATCACTTGTCTACTTTGACCTGTCTCCAAAGCATTCGTGGTGCAAGTGTTTTCACAAGTCACCTATGTGAAAAACAAGCAACGGAATAAAATTTCAACTACGATAATGGAGTCCCTTATTCTGACCAAAAGCTATCTGCTCAACCGCAACAAGTGATCACACCCGAAATCTTAAATTAATGCAATATGCAAGCATGTACGAAAATAAGCAAAATGAAGATGACCTGTTTCCGTGGCTTGCTCATGTTGAGCGAAGAGGAAAAAGTGCCACAATGACACTGATAAAAAAAGGAAAAAGTGTCAATGTAATCAAACACAGGAAAAGAAAAGTGTCAAAATGTTCCAAACAGAGGGGAAAAAATATAACGTGTTCAATTTGGCTAATTATCGTCAAGCCAGATAGCTGCACAGTACATAAGATAATTTTTTTTTAACCAAGGTTTCTGACGAATAGTTTTATTAAATTTGGAGTTATTAGTCTGTTTTTGAACGATATAATTTCTGGTATATTTCTGGTATTTTGAGCTAGGCAATCTGGTATTCTCGCCAAGAAAAAACCTGGCAACACTGGCTTTTAGTTACATTATACATTTGTACTTTTATCTACTGATGCTCCGGTCGCATGGCTGAACTCCGTGAACTAAAGAAGTCCGACCGTAACTTAGTTTTCCGCAGCGGGAATTCCAGCCTGTCAGTAACCATACCTGAGGTATGAATAATCGTATTATTGTATGAATGCAGATCAGCATTTAAAATTCCCAATAGTTTTATGTTCACTCCTAAATACTAAAAATAATCACTAGGGCTAGGTAGGACCTCACTGGATAGTGGACACTGATCGCCGGCTTTGCCGCCATCATGATCATGCTGCATGCATTGCTCTGTTAATGTTTTATGACCCTTTGTGGCTTTGTCCCTATGACTCTATCAGTAATTTAGTATGCCTATAAATATAATAGTCTATCTATACTCTATAGTGTAGGACTGTAGGTAGAACGGAGAAGCCTAGTGGCAAAGCAGAGAGTTTTTTAGACTCCCTCAAGTTCATTATTTAGTCCTAGGCCTATAAGTAGACCAGTAGAGTATCATGGATACCAGCATTATCATACGTAAGAAATTGGTTTAAGTCTTGAGTACCTATATGAGGAAATTAAAAATGAACTGATTCTAAAAAATCTCTGATTTGTCACTATAGTCCTGACTCCTGAGTCCTGACTCCTGACTCCTTTTGCTTGATATTGGAGTCCAATAATTGATAACTGAGGAGTCCAATATAATAACTGATAACAATAATAACTGAGGAGTCCAATAATTGGACTCCTCACTCCTCAGTCCTCATACAGCATAGCTAGATATGGATTGCTCTTGAAAAATCAAAGACACTTAAATGGCAATTACATCACGATAAAAGTTGCCTTCCTAGAATTCAGAGATCAAATAATGCTATGCTGCATTGTATTTGTATATAAATGAACCCTTAGGACTTGAAAAAGTTCTAAGATAAACTGCTCCCTCCTAGCCCTAGACTCTCTAGAGTCCTAGTCATGCTGCTCATGCAAGTTGATGCAACTTGTACCATGAGCCTGAACTCTGAAGCAATGATTATGATATAGAATTCAGCAATGAATAGCATTTCTTAATGTTATTCCTAACTGTAAAAGTAAGACAAAATCCATGCATGATTGAGTAAAAAATTCCTTTGCCTGTAATTAATTCATCAACACAGGAATTTTAATTAATGCTCATTGACTAATTTTTTCTTTAAATTGAGAAGACCAAACAATTTTGCTTACAATTTCAGGAAATCACCTGAAAATTTTTTTCTTCCCATGCACGTTATGTACCTGGGGCATCTGGAAAGTAGTACCTGTTTCAGTGTTTGGTAATTGAACAAAAGGAAGTAAATAGTTACAAATGTAAATATGTTTATTGAATAGAACATGTATTACACTACTTGTCTACATAATCTGTGGACAAATTTAAGCATTTGTTGTATTGTGTCACAAGTTTTTGTGACAATTCCTCTGCCACCAGTGTCACACTCCTTTCTTATTCCTCTGCTGCCAGTGCCAGGGTTTCTGGGATCGGCAAGGTGTACTGCTCATCAATTTCAAGACCCATGGAGACTAAATCAAGTCCAATGCAGTTGTGCAACATTAATAAAATTACGGCGGGCAATTCAAAATTGATGGCGTGGTCTGTTGTTGACTGGCATCATTTTTCTGCACAATGATGCCAGGCTGCAACTGCATACGGCTCACTCGGGCTCAGATAACACAACTTCTCCAAAAATCCAAGTGGGAAATTTTCAACCATCCACCCTAGAGTCCGGACTTTTCTCCTTCAGATTTTCATCTGTTTACGAAACTCAAGGACTTTGTGGCAGGGACAAAATTTCAATATGACAAAGAACTGAAAGAACACGAGACTGCATATCTCAGTACACTGGCAGCAGAGGAATGTGACACTGGTATACAAAAACTCATGATACAATATGACAAATGCTTAAATTTGTCTGGAGATTATGTAGAGAAGTATGGTAATGCATGTTCTTTTCAATAAAAATGTCTAAATTTGTTAATATTTACTTATTTTTGTTCAATTCCCAAAGGGGTACTACTTTCTGGATGCCCCTTGTAATTTGACTCAATTTGAGTCTCAATATTCCAGATTGGGTGTTATTAAACTTAACAGTACTCAATGTCCAAAGGAGTTAAGGGACTAAAGCCCCGTCCACACGTTCAAACTTATCGTCAGTCTTGCATGTCATGCCAGGTTTGAGCGATTTTGACGGAAGACTGAAAAGCGTCCACATGCTCAAACTTTCCTTCAGTTTTTAGTGCGTTCACGACAAAGGAGGAGGCAGTGCAGTGAGCGCAGTTTGTGCCACCATAATTAGGTTAAAGCGATGCAAACGTACGCGGTGGTCCCGAAAATGATTTTAAAAAATACCACAATGAGGGTTGATGACAGCATCCCTACCAGCACCAGACAGCATTGACGACTTCATTTTGGCACATTCTTTTTGATAAAGAGTTTATTTTCTTCGCTACTAAGTCTCTGTTTGCTGTATGATCAACTTCTCTGCACTTAGCAATCAATGCCGCATAGGCCAGTGCTCTCTTGTTTGTGTCACTGTTGCTTTTTGATTGAATTTACCATAAACATGGGAAACTACGATACAACTCCATAAACTCACCAAAATGAATCGTAAAATCAGTGTCAGATATCCTGGGATATGAAAAACTAGAGCTAGCGAGGTACAATGTCACAGCTCCCATCATCAATATAGACTGAGATGGAGTAAAAGTTTGACCAATAAGTTGGTTGCCCGTCCACACGCTCAAACTTATTGTCAGTCTTGCATGAACCCAAAGGTTTCGCCCGTCCGTCTTTTCCAGGTTTGTCAAACCTCAAACTCCGCCCACTCGTCATGCAAGACGTCAAACTTTGAGCGTCCACACGCTCCGTCTTGTCGTCAAACCTGGCATGACATGCAAGACTAACGATAAGTTTGAGCGTGTGGACGGGGCTTAAGTCCAAACTGTTAAATTGAAATGAACTTTAACGGATGATAAAAATAATAAGCAACTCATTATTTGCTACAAAATTGGAACAGTTTAACTTTAACTTTATGACAAGAAATTATAGCTGTAACTTGGTCAATATTCAAATATGAATGTATTGGCATTGATTTGAGATTTCATTAACAACATGAAAGGATAAAATTTGCTCAGAAGCCAATTTGGAAAATTGTGCTCAACTCTCTGATAATCGTTGGTACATGTTGCATTTTAAAGATCATTGGAAAAAATATAATTTTTAATTAATTTTTGTAGAGGAAAAATGACTGCTAAAAATAGACTGCCACAGTGCTTCTGCAAGCACTGATATAAATTTTAGTCAGAGGTGACTTCTGCCAGATTTCCTGAATGTTGCTAAATGATCTATCAAAAAGCTTGTTCCAAAAATTGAGAACTGTGAAATATTTACTTATCAAGCCACAACTAGAGCATTACTGTTGTTTTTAAATCCCAAAGATTCCATATAATAGGTAGTCAATCAAACTTCATGATTAGGCTGTGAAATTTCAAATCAATCAAAATTACATAATCAATATTTCATTATGAAGCAGGATTTTCTCTTTCCTTCAAAAATGGAAGCAAACTTCAGTCAGGATGGGACAAGTTAAATTTTAAACTATAATATTGTGGTTCCCAAGTCTCACATTTTATATTTGGATTACTATATTCTACAAGGATTCTCTATTGAAAAATATGTTATACTAGTTCTTGTAAATGGAAAAATGTCTATGATAATGATACTAATAACTTTCTTTACATTGTATTTCATGTACATTTTTTACTAACAAATGAGGACAGTTTACAAATGTAAACTACCATGAATGCATTACAGTTTTAATATCTTGTTTCTATGTATCTATTATCACTTTATTTCTATGTTTTCTATCATTCATGAGCAAAATCTAATAATTTGACCAAATTCTCCCTGGTATGAAAATTTTGATGTTGTGTTGTCATTTTGTTTGGCTGGAAAATGTGAATATGAGTTTGATTGCAGATTACTGGTGGCAATTACGGACTTCATGTGTGGCCATGTGCTCCTGTTTTGGCTCAGTATCTCTGGTACCATCGTTCTAGACTGCATGGCAAGCGTCTGCTTGAGTTAGGAGCTGGCACGGCTCTGCCTGGAGTGGTGGCTGCCAAGTGTGGAGCTGATGTCATATTGTCAGATTCAAGTGTTCTGCCATCTTGCTTAGAAATCTGTTCACTGTCCAGCGCTGCTAATGGCTTGGAATTGCCTGTTATTGGAATAAAATGGGGCACGTTTGATTCTATTATAAAACTACCCCCATTGGATTTTGTGATTGCATCTGACTGTTTCTATGAGCCAGATGTTTTTGAAGATATAATTATGACAGTCTCATTGCTATTGGAAAGGAACCCTGAAGCTTGCTTTATTTGTACCTATCAAGAGCGTGAGCCCGACTGGACCTTTCAACCAGAACTTGTAAAGTGGCAGTTGTCCTGCACTTCTGTGCCTCTGGAGTCCTTTGATGCAGATCATGAAAACGTGGCTCAATCTGGTCTACCAGGCTCACATAAGATTCATTTGTTTCAGATCAGAAAGAAGTGTCAGGGGGAAGCCCAGTGAGAACTGAACCAACTTGAGCATTTTACCTGCTGCCATCTTCTCTTGCGCTCCAGCCTTACCGCAGAAGATGTCCTTCCGAGCTGCCACAAGATTGTATGTTGGAAACTTGCCATGGACCGTCGCTGGAAAAGAGTTATCTGAGTATTTTTCTCAGTTTGGACGTATTAAAAGTGCTCGTGTTAATTTTAACAGGAAAACTGGTTTTAGCAAAGGGTATGGTTTCATACATTTCAGGGACGAGCAGGGTCTCCAATCAGCTACCAACCAGCGGAAGCATTTATTGGAAGGAAACACGTTGAAGGTCGATTTGGCCAGCAATTCTGAGAGATATTAAATTTAGTAATTATATATTGCAAATAACCTCTTGTAAAAAAATGTCAGAAATAAATGAAAGCCCAGTTGAGAATATTTTCAATGCAGCTGCAAAGCATTTCCCATCTCTTATTTCTACACTTCCAAAAGAACGACTCCTCTTCTTTTACGCACGTTACAAGCAAGCTACGGAGGGCGACTGCAATGTGGCCAAGCCCGGCTTCCTGGATCAGAGTGGCCGTCGTAAGTGGGAGGCATGGAAGAGTTTGCAGGGCACAAGTAAAGCAAAGGCCATGGAGGAATACATCTGTGGTGTAAAGGAGCTAGACCCAGACTGGAGAGAGGATGCCACAAATACCTCAGGATGGGCGCGGGTAAGCCGCATGCCAGCACCAGAAGATGCAACCATCACAAAATTTGTCGAGGCCGTACAGGAAAACCAATTAGATGTGCTCAAACAACTTGACCTTGCGACGGAAGTGCAAAAGCGCTTTGACGAGGGTATGACAGGGTTGCACTGGGCGGCAGACAGAGGACACAGAGATGTGGCAGAGCTGCTGCTGGACCGTGGCGCTGATGTCAACGCCCAGGATGAAGGCGGCCAAACACCTCTGCACTACGCTGCGTCGTGCGGCTACGAGGCCTTAGTTTGCTTGCTGCTCAGTCGAGGCGCGGACTCCACCATACGTGACGTTGATCAGCTGACGCCGCGTCAGGTGGCTGATGACGCTGCCGTCGCATCTTTGTTCCCACAGTGAATTTACTAATTTCAAGTAGTGTCGTATTGCTAATGGTCCTACATATTCGCGTGATGATATAACATTACATTTCTGTCAACAACGGGCTTCTGTATTAAACTGGTGTTATTTGAATAAACGTTCCAACTGTATTGAAACGTGAATCTCCTTTCGTAATAGTAGCTTGTAGTAATATTAGCTATGAAATTAGTTTTCGAAAGTTAGGAGTAACACAATTTTAATCCTCCTGAATTACGTTTCATACACATTATAAAAATAATTTTTCAGCGCCCAGATTTCGTTGCAAAGCATATTCTCAGGGCTGTTAGTGTAGTCACCAGTTAACCCTCATCGTGTCCTGATCCTTGACCCTCTACCGCATGACAAGATTAACCGGAGCAATATTGTCTCGAGCCTACATCCTATTAAGGATACGTTCTAGTGACTTGCACTGATGGTTGCCGCCACGTACAACAACTTTAAAATGTTTCCTGTTGTGTACGAACGTCCTGCGGTTGCCACACTCAATAGTTTACGTATAATTTAAGTTGAAAGTTATGTCCCCGGAGAGTGACATGCGGCGGTAGATTTTTAACAAGTCGGAGCATTCGACCTCCCGCTGATGATCACTTAGTAACAACTTGAAACGCTCTGAAGCGACATTTTAGGGAAAATTGAACGTAAACTCACACATAATGAGAATTTATTTGAAAACTGTCATTCCAATTTCGGCATCTCTACTAATTGCTCGTAATATTGTATTCAAAATTAATCCTAATAAGCATTAAAATAATCACTGCAGGGAATTATGGCTCACTGCAAGAACTTAGAATTTATTTTAGCATGTTAATCGAGCGATATAATAACGAGTAAATAGACGCGCCAATACAGAATTTAAGAATAGGTTAACTTGTGCCTAATCGAAATGGCTATAGATCATATTGTGTATGATATTACACGACTACTCCGAAAGACGATGTAGTCTTCCGTCGTAGCATTATCCCTTACTTCTGGTCAACTCCTTTCCGGCTCAAGAGAGGTCTCAAGCCTTGACAAGTGTTCTATGCGGCGCATTACTACCCATGAGGCACGATGGCTGAACAATCAACACCAAAATGTTGCAGCTATTGAACAGATGTACCGTGGAAGAAAATAATTCTCAATAAATTATCCCGTAGGTGCCACATGACGTCGCGAGGTCGTAAGTATAAGAATAAAATTATAAGGGAACACAAGAGAAGCTATAAGGGCACTTATCAGCTAAGGAAGACAGGAATCTTCGATCAAGCAGCAAAAATATTTTATGAATCAATCTCGAAGCGGCACACTTAATAGCGTAACTTAGAAAGTAAACAACGTATCTGAAACGCCTAGGAATTCTCCCGAAGCAAGAGTTATAAGTTGGCTCAAGTAATATTATTGCTGAAATCGACGAGTCATGAGCGCAGAGTAATTATTGTTCTATATGGCGCGGCATCGTTTTATTCATGGTCTAAAAAAATTGGTGAGCTTGTGCTAATGCAAGCGTACGTTCAGTAGTGGTGTATGTCTGAGTAACTAATGATCTTGTCGATTGAGCGCTGTCCAAGTGACTTGATAATACATGCGGTGCGCTTCCATCACAAGACATGCGGAGCTAACAAAATCACAGACGTGATCATCTTCGTCCATACAAATCCAAAATTAAGAAAATAATTTAGAATCTTGATGACAGAAAGAGCACATGAATGAGTGACTTCAAACAAAAATAACTTGACTACTTCGAAGGCTTGAGGTGAATAGTATAAACGCAAGGGACATAGCGTAAGAAAGTCCTATTGGCAGCGAACATCGTGATATGAGGTTAGCTAATTAGGAGTGATTCGTAACTCTTTACTGATCCTGACCCTGCATGAAAAAAATTGGATAAAACCATTTCATTTTCTACGTGAAATCGGCACATCAATTAATTTTGTTCAGTGCTTTTATTTAACACGTCATTGTGCGGTGAGTTCGAGTATTTAAGTCTTAAGAAGATATATAATCCACCAGTCTTTAATTAGTATATTTGTCTTCGTAATCAAGTACTATGCCCAGTCCTTCTTGTCAGTGCTTACAGAGATCGAAACGATTAGTCCCAATCTGCCTGCTTTTAATAGAATTTATTTCTGCAGTAAAAGACCCAATATTACTTCAGTTAATATGGCTATCTAACAAATAAGCCTAGTGTGTCAAGTTTTATTTCAGTATTAGTCCCAAGATAATTTCAGTCAGTATTAGTCTATCTTCTGTATAGGATCCAGATTTTATAGTTTAATTTTGGACCCCAAAATTTCTCCAGTATTATGCCCAGTTTTGAAGCATTAATCCCAGTCTTTCTTGATATCAAAAGACCAGTCCCACTTGAGATGCTCATGGTTGTCATCATCAGTGAAGAGAGACTTGACGGTGTAGTGCCCCCTGGACAGCATGCCTGACGGCGCGTCTTCTGGTGGTGTTGTGTAGCTCTGCATGGCCTCCATGGGCGCATACGATCCCACCATGTGCGTCATCTTGTCAACTGCCACAATCAACAAAATAGTTACTATTTTAATCGAATTTTGCGCATTTTTTACCGTGATAAAAAACAAGAAATTATTGAAATTCGCCAGTACAGAAATTATGGTAAAACAGAATTAATTCTCAGTATCTAGCATACCTTGAATGCCTTTCCTGTGCGTTCTCTGGATGTACTTTAGCCCGGTAACAATCTCTCGCTGCACCTGGAAGTCGATCCTTATTCTGTACGTGATGCCTTCTTTGATGGTGAAGGGCGAGTCTTTAAGCTTGTTGAGGTCGCCCTGCGCCAGGTCAAGTACGATGTCATCCCGGCCTTCCACCACCAGAGCAAGCTGTCTGACCAGCACCCGCCGGTCGTCACTGTGGTCTGCAGTCAAAAGGCAGTGTCATTTTTAGCAGAAGAAATGGTAACACAGTATATGCCTTACAAAATAATTCATTTAACACGTTTGCTTATAGAGAGGGAAGTTCATAATTTACATTTATGGAATAAAATAAATGGAAATGAAGACCTCAAATAGCTGAGTGGATGCCTTTAATAACTGGTGAGTCTGAATGCAGTTAAAGGGAAACTATCAGTACGTACAAAAATTGGATATGGTGTCAAGGCACAAGAGGCACATGTTCAAGCATTCTGAAAAGGCATTTACAGAATAAAAAACTTAACTGTAATTTATTTGCACTCAAAATGTTCAGCGATTAGACATTTAGACTGAAAAAAAAAAAATCGGTAGAAAATCGTTGTCATTAACAGACCTACATTATGTAATAATCTGATTGCAGAAGCAATTCTGTTAGTTTTGACTATTCTATGAATGTTTATAATTTTCAATGAACACTGACATACCAATAATAATAGGAGTACCAGCAGAAGAAGATGCTCCTAACAGAGTCTCCTTGTATTTTCTGAGGCTCTCGTCCTCCTGATCTTGCTGTACTATATCAGACAAGGACTTCTCAGGTGGGGCCTTGTACTGAATTTTCTCATCTCCCTCATCATCAGACACATGACTTGAAATGACTTCTTCTTCAGCCATCTGCAAAATGAATTAGATCAATGTTAATCTTGTAACCATTAAACTTAATGAAACATAACAGGAAGGTATGTTGACAAGAGGTTATCAGTTGCTATTAGTTGATAAATAGCTCATTTTCTGAAATGAACATTACATTCTCCAGCCTGAAATAATGTGTGTCTAGCACTTATTTCTGAAATTGAATTAAAGCAAACTGTCTATACAAGTAGATTTTACATCATGAATTGATGAATTTCCTTAAAATGTGTTGTTGTCTTTGACCAATAAATATAATCAAGCCCTAATCAAAAGCCTAAACAATTTCATGCAGAAACATGAGATAAGTCATTTTCAAGCTCATTACACTAGGTGAAGAATTTGACACTGACATTTGACTTCAAGATACTGAGTGACGATCATTTTTGAAGCTCAAAACAGTTATTCAATCATGAAATGTTTAAATTTTTGTAATGAGATTATTTTTTATTAATACAATTAATCTAATACCAACATGATAAAACCAAGACTTGAATCAGAACCAAGATTGCAGGTCAATGACACTTTCCATCTACATGTAATTTTTTACTTCTCAACAAAAACATGATAAGATTGAACAGAAATGCATATACTTATTTTGTATTACTTATTGAAATTACAATTTACAAGGCTTGCAAATTCTCCCAGAAATGTACTTTACAGTTTATTTCAAGAGATATTACACCGAGTACTATAAACAATAGCAACATAAAAATATTCAATATTCATGAGTCAATGTTAAACTGGGATTAGGCTACTATTAGGATTGCTTAGTTTTAAGTACAGTTCATAGATTGTAATTTTCACAAAAAAATTTTGTTCAATCAGACAATTTTATTTAGATAAAATATTCCTTCAAGCTTGTTAACAATTAGTTAAGACTTAAGAGATAATTGGTCTAGCAGGCTAGTGGGAATCTTGCAGCTTCAAAAATGACTGAAAAGCTCCAACCATACAATATTATTGCACCTGACCCAAATGCCAAATAACACATATTGATGAATAGAACTTTGCATTAAATGGCCATGGTTAAACTAAAAATGAACTGGTTTTTAAATTCTGCAACATTGCTCTTTGGTAACCAATTAATTAAAATCTTACTTTAGACTTTTAGACTTTAGAGCAACATGATAATGATTTTCATAATGAATATGAATTTCCAATCTAGGCCATTCTAGCTCTAGGGTAGACGTAGACACAGTATACTTGAATTGTGTCCACGGGAAAACAAGTGATATACCTAATTATTTACCATGTAATCTTGGAAGGCCCGGAAGGATAATATCTCACTAATTTCAGTATATTAATCAAATTCAATTTACTGGCCTGAATGGCTGGATCGATCTCTGAAATAAGACCCACCACTATATGAATATATCCTACTCTGAATGCAAACTTGAAAGTTGAAACTATAGTAGGTATAAGCTTCACTTAAGTTTACTTTAATAGGTAGGTACTATGAACGTAAGCTACCGTACATCACTCGCGTCAACCGGTCAACGGTAAAGTGCGCAAACGTAACTTCAACAGTGGTGCAAAAAACAATAGATACCAGATAACAATCAACAAGAAAAACAAGAATAATAATATAAATTTATGCTACATAAACTTATCTGTCTTTAACAATAACCTAACTATACAGTTAAGAAAAAACTATAAATTCATCAAATCAAGAGCCCTGCCCACTATCACCTTGGCAATTACCCATTGGTGTACGTCTACGCTTATCAGTTGAGAAACAGATGAAACTCGCACACCGGTATTATTTGAAACGTGAAAAAACGCAGATTATCCGCTTTTTACTATAGTATAGACAATACATTTTTTACTGCCTTCCTTCACTTACATGCAGTCGACTTACTTTAGAATTTATTTGAATTCTCACAGTATTCTTCCCGAGCAGGACAACTGTCAACACACACCCACACTTAGCTGGCAACTAAGCAATTGACTAATCTGCACTGCCACTGCTGAGTCATTTGTCAGAGCTTCGGCGATTGCCAGAAGAAACATCTTACTTCTATTTAAATATGAAAACAACAATTACGTAATAATAAAAAATAATAAAAATTGGGGTTGAAAAAAATGCAGTTTCTGTCAAAGCGAAAATTTGACGGAATTTCCCTGATTGCGACTTCATCTTTTATTAATTAGTGGAAGTCATGGAAGCAAAGCTGAAGTGAAGCTTGATGAGATGACAGCGAAAAAAATTCGGTAATTCACACTAAGTTTTTAAAGTTTACAAATCATATTGAAAATCAAATTGATAAGACTAAAAAACTACTATTCGGTACACAGCGAGTAGATCGAATTACTTGCTCAGTGTTAGAAGTTGGAACGTTTGGAGCAAAGTTGAAACCAAATATCTCTTGGTAAACCGCAATCACGTCTGCACTTATTTCTATCATAATTCTTGTGTGAGGATGAGGTGGTAGTCGTAGAGATGTGCGATTACTTGTGAGGCTTTGTAAGTGAAGTGAACTGAAGAAGCAACTAGTGATGAATTCTCCTAGATGTGATGAGCTAGTATTAAAGAGTAGCTGGATGAGATGTCGAGAATTGAGAATCGCTGCAAGAATAGTGAGAATATTTTTATGGTCACCACGCTATCAAGGGTGAGCAAATGTGAGTTGAACGTGCTTAAATCATTCACGGTCTTTCAAAATATATAACATACGAAAAGGATATTGAAAAACAATTCGACGTATAATTTATTACGCAGGATACGCTATTTTGCAATTTAGTGACGCTGTCTTTCTTTGGTCTCGAACGCAATGCAATGTGATGACTGCAAACATTAACGACAAACGTGGAAGTGACGGATGTTATTTATAGGAGTTTTCGTACTGTAATCTCTTTGTTTATTATGATAAAATGTTAACTTTGCAACATTAACCGAGATAAAAGATAATACTTGACATCACTACATTTGTCTTCATTAGACGTCGTAGTTATTCTACGCATGCAACATGTTCACTTTCTAAGGCCTTGCTCATAAATGTGATCATTATTGAAAGGATGGGCACGATTGGTAAGTTTCGCGGGATAACTTTCGATTGTGTAAGTTACCCCGCGCGAACATTGAAGTTCAAAAATAACGTAGGTAACGCAGTTACTCAGTGCATACAAGTGCTAGTTTTCTGCATACATCAAACATCTCTACAACGTTTATGCTCCATAGCACACAAGCAAAAATGAACACAAGCTTGTAATAAAGGTGATAATTAACCGTTAATCATAACAAAAATATAAATAAATTGTGTCAACAATTAACTTGGACGCTAAACTCAACCATTGTTAAACTTATGGTAAGTTTATAAACAAAATACAGGATCTTGCAGGTGCTGTTGAAGAACCTACCGTAATGATCGTAAATTTTTCGATAACCTTGGACGAGTCATCTACGAGGTCGTAACAAAATTTTTGATCAGAACATTTGGTGAGATTAGATTTGATCTGAGAAACATCCACCGTCTCCAAAATATGCAAGAAATCTTCAGTAATTAAAGATTGTAAATATTAACTACTAAATAGAAGAAATGAGTGAATAGAATGCACATATGCAAGTTTGATTGAAGACCAGAGCATGATTTTTATAAGCAATCTTCTTACTTGTTTTTTCAATGAGTCGAGCAAAATTTCTTACTGGCGCTGGGAGATCAAAAAGCAGGTTACCAAATGACATTTTAATGGAATGCGACGTTTCGAATATACAATATTCGTTATCAAGCCGGTGAAAGGGTTTTGCAACACTTGTAATTTAACTCAAGTTCAATTTCAAGTGTGTATGAATCAAATAAGAAGATTGTTAATAAAATGCATACCCTGGTCTTCAGTCAAACTTGCATAAAAGAAAGGCTTCTACCGAATAACACCAATATATGTATATATATAGAAGCACAATATAAATATATAGAAACATTACTAATGATATAGGTATACTGTTCATAGGAAGTCGTCTACTCGCGGAACTTGGTTTTAATGAAGGCGGGAAGAGGGATGAGGTAGAGAACAAGATTGCCTATCAGCATCCCGGCGTAAAAGATGAACGAAAAGCCGACGTTCGTGAAGAAGTCCAGGTCTTGTCGGTCCAGGTCAACTCCGCCCTGGAAGACGTGGTAGCGCTCCAGCAGGTAGTAGGTGCCGTTGCGGTACCTGGACAACAAGCGCCATGTTGGCAATCAAACATTTACATTACCAGTCCAGCCTCCCACCAGACAACTGAAGTTAAAATAAAGTTACTTCAACGTTTTCCAAACGAAATAAACTCTTGTTCAACGTTTTATGTTTAGAAAGATGAAGTCAATATCCAAGTTCATCATCTTAACAGCATGAAGTATACCCTCAAACAAGTCCGTTAACCATCAAACCTCTAAAACAAGCATTATGTAATCATGAATCTCTTAAGGAGGGTGGACAAGAAGCTCCTATACATCTGATAAAACTACCATAAGAAGGATAAGAAACATTAGTGGTACGCTTGGTTGTGATGAGCACCAACTTGCACCAACTTTACAATTCTTGTCTGACCATTTGAATAGATGTAATGCGCTAGGGATTTAATGCCGATATTCAAGGAAACGAATTTCAAATGAGAAACTAAATAAATGTTTTTATTTTAAGTTTAAAAAGGTGGAGCCATGAGCATAATGTTGGCTTAAGTAAGTGTCTTCGCTTAATGACAGAGAAATAGGTATAGACCTGCAGCCGAACTCAGCGTTGTTGTCGGGGCACGCGATGGCTAGGGACAGACCTGCAGCCGAACTCAGCGTTGTTGTCGGGACACGTGATGGCTAGGGACAGACCTGCAGCCGAACTCAGCGTTGTTGTCGGGACACGTGATGGCTAGGGACAGACCTGCAGCCAAACTCAGCGTTGTTGTCGGGACACGTGGTGGCTAGGGACAGACCTGCAGCCGAACTCAGCGTTGTTGTCGGGACACGTGATGGCTAGGGACAGACCTGCAGCCGAACTCAGCGTTGTTGTCGGGACACGTGATGGCTAGGGACAGACCTGCAACCGAACTCAGCGTTGTTGTCGGGACACGTGATGGTCTCGTTGACGGGCAGGGACGGCAGCTGCTGCCACAGGAGTTGCTGCTGCAGCGCCGCAGCCGCGAACTTGAAGACGTTCACGTGGCTGAGGTAGTACAACCAGTCGGGGATACCCACGAGCGACCTAGAGACACGCGCACGATTATCAATTCATCGTAATATGCAAACAAATATTAACTGACATGAAAAACAATAAAAATAAAGCAATGATGCACGATAAATTATGACAACTCTATTTTATTGAAGCCTTAGCACGTGAGCGTCACTAAGTGGATGGTTAATCGTTAGCAGATGTGATGAGTATTTCTGATGAGATCAGTGCAAGTGATAAATATAATTATGCAAATGAGCATCAATGAGCAGATGAATATGCGCGAAAAACCGAAGTGTGCAGCGCCTAACCTGAGGGTCGCAGCGCCTAGCCTGAGGGTCGCAGCGCCTAGCCTGAGGGTCGCAGCGCCTAACCTGAGGGTCGCAGCGCCTAACCTGAGGGTTGCAGCGCCTAACCTAGCGCCTAACCTGAGGGTCGCAGCGCCTAACCTGAGGGTCGCTGCGCCTAACCTGAGGGTTGCACTGCCTAACCTGCGGGTCGCTGCGCCTAACCTGAGGGTTACAGCGCCTAACCTAAGGGTCGCAGCGCCTAACCTGAGGGTTGCAGCGCCTAACCTGAGGGTTGCAGCGCCTAACCTGAGGGTTGCAGCGCCTAACCTGAGGGTTGCAGCGCCTAACCTGAGGGTCGCTGCGCCGACGAGCAGGTATGCGCTGGTGAGCGCGACCGACGCTGACGCGGCGCAGTAGCTCGACCTGACGATGAGCATGAGGGCGATGGTCTGCTGCTCCACGAAGCCCCACGCAGCCCACAACACAGACCCAAACAGCAGCCAGCCCAGCCAGTCGGGGTCTGTTGCACCAGGGTCTCTTCCTTCAGTCGTCAGCCCTAGACCGCTGTGTGAATGAGGTGCCGAATGACAACGAATGATTTGGATTAAATTCGTTTAATGGAAGGAGAACGTTAGCACCAGACGCCACATTAAATGCTTCGTAGAATAATAATAATAATAACAGTGATAGCACGGAAGAACTACGTCATTAAACTCGGAGCAATAGGTAGAAATACATCAACTAAAAAGCTTTGATGCCGTAAGAAAGATTTATAACCATCCTGCTCGAGCCTTTTTCCTACCTGCATCAGGTCTCCTATCGAGTCTCTCGTCAAGTATGAAGACAGATTCTTACCAAAACTCATGTCGCTTACACCTCCCCTCCAAACATTGTTTCTTGCCTTATTTAACAATTCTAACGACGCGTTCTGAATTATTCTTTGATTTTAGACATCATATTAAATTTGAATTATATGAAATTTCGAAGTTTTCGACCGCTATTCACCAGTGATTTTACTATTATTTTACACCATAATTATTCACCAATGATTGGAAATATTCGTTGATATTTGAACTAGTGCTCACAAGAAGACGATGGCTGAGGCAGCCATGACGCTGAGGAAGGCGATGGGGGCGGCGAAGCAGAAGTACGAGACAAGGAAGAGTGGACCGCGGTACAGCCCGCTGCGTGCCTCGTGGTAGTAGCGCGTGCGGTGACCCGAGACTGCAACAAACGCACCAATACAACAGGATTTACATGGAGGTAATGTCAGTAATTTAAATTAATACTTTATATGAATTTATGAACACGTAATAGCAAAAATACGTAATAGTAAGAATAGGTACGTAAGTGATAATAGGTGATACGTAATAGTAGGAATCAAAAGTAAGGTAGGGCGTTGAGGGAGAGGTGATGATTTGAAGTGAATACGTATTTTCTACGTATTATATTTGTAAGTGATACGTATTTTGAGAGAAGTGAAATGTATAATGAAGGTCATCAATGACGGTAAAAAATATAACGGTTAAGCGACGTGAATAGGTGAGCCCTAGTGTCTGCCAGTGAGATGTGCGGTGCATAAATCAGTGAACGTCGAAGTCCGGCAGTATATCAGTGAAATTAATCAGCTGGAGAAGAATCCATGCAAAAGGCTTCTGGCAGCAGTTATTAATTGAATAAAATGTTGTCCTAACGGTGCACGGCCTGCCCAGATCCGCCTTGCTCAACTGTTAGTCTTCGCCCTGTAGGTCCACGATATTTATTCAAGAATTCTAAGTAGTAAATACTAAATACATCACCAACAGATGATCGTACGTCTGACCCACGTGATCGTACGTCTGACCCAAGTGATCGTACGTCTGACCCACGAGATCGTACGTCTGACCCTCATGATCGTACGTTTGAACCACATGATCGTACGTCTGACCCACATGCCCGTACGTCTGACCCACATGATCGTACGTCTGACCCACATGCCCGTACGTCTGACCCACATGATCGTATGTCTGACCCACGTGATCGTACGTCAGACCCTCATGATCGTACGTCTGACCCACGTGACCGTACGTCTGACCCACGTGATCGTACGTCTGACCCACGTGAGCGTACGTCTGACCCACATGATCGTACGTCTGACCCACTTGATCGTACGTCTGACCCACATGATCGTACGTCTGACCCACATGATCGTACGTCTGACCCACATGATCGTACGTCTGACCCACATGATCGTACGTCTGACCCACGTGATCGTACGTCTGACCCACGTGATCGTACGTCTGACCCACATGATCGTACGTCTGACCCACATGATCGTACGTCTGACCCATATGATCGTACGTCTGACCCACATGGTCGTATGTCTGACCCACATGATCGTACGTCTGACCCACTTGCTTGACTCACATGTGGTGGCGGTGGCGGCGGCGGCGAGGAAGGCGGTGCCCACGACGCAGTTGAACACCAGACCGCCTCGTGTCTGGAAGCTGCGCTGTGTGCTCTGTGTACATTATATTATGAGCGATTATATTATGAACAATTTAGGAGTCATGACATTTAAAATATGCAGAATTTATGCCGTGGTACTTAAGACATCGCGATAACTTTATTTTATTTTAAGTAAACTCAGGTAACAAGTTGCATGAGGGGAAAGCAAGGCCCTATTATTAATGGAAATAAATCGTCAATACAAAATAAATGGGGTTATCATCGTACGAATATCTTTTCTCTTTTCATTATCATCGTTATAAATAAGATTATATCAATCATAGTAATTAGTAAGATTTCAATCATCGTAATTAATATGATATTGATCATCGTAATTTATATGATTTTAATCATCGTAATTAATAAAATGATATTGATCATCGTAATAGAGAAGATATCAATCGTCGTAATTAATAAGATGATCTCAATCGTCGTAATTAATAAGATGATATCAATCATCTTAATTAATAAGATATGAAAGCAGAAGGCAGATGCCTTCACCTGCAGCGGGAAGTAGAAGTTCCAGAGCAAGAAGAAGTAGGACGGCAGCAGCAGCAGACGTAAGAAGAAATCCTGCGCTCCTGCGCGGTTGTTGGGTAGCATGAGTGAGTAGGATCGCCTGCACGTAGGAGAGAGTAAGAGTGTGACGCGAGACATGCTCATGGCAGCCCAGCGGTTAAAGTTCAGAGTACCAAGATTGGCACAGAGAGGCGCGGGTTCGATCCCAGCTCTGTGCGCCAGTTTCTGGTGAGAATCGGCAAGGAGGCCGGGCGGTTAAGCAAAGCAGAATTGTAGCAGTGAATTGCGAGTTTGAGACCGCAATAATGCTGTGAATGTTCTGCAATGTTACGAATCGGCGACAGGCCTACGGCCTAATAAACGCTGAAACCGCTATTAAGTAAGAGCATGTGTGGCTGACGCTCATACTAGGTATAAGTATCCGGATAAGAATATATATTTTCTAAGTAGGACTAAGGTATACAGCCTCCCCGATTACATCGTTGACGATCCGAGTATGAACGCGTTCAAGAACAGACTAGATAAAGCTATGGAAAAATATATGTTCAGACTTTAAATGCCTAGCACCATATCGAACCCGTTGGAAGTCTAGTAGCTACTTCAAACTATCGTCGCAGGACCTGTATTCAGATCTCCTAAGGACAAGTCACGAAAAGTACAAGAATCGGCGACATGCCACATCAGGCCTACTCTTCAGCGCCGACATCACTATGTTATGTTATATTGTGTTATGTATTCTTCAGGTAAGCCTAAGGACTCACCAGAAGAGCGTGAGCATCACGCTGATGACGCCGGGCTGACCGTAGGAGAAGAGCGGCACCTTGTGGTCCTGAGGGTCGCTCTGTTGGTAGGTTGTTATGTCGTAAATCTAACGTGGCAAAATAACTCTATAGTCTTATACCATAAGGGATTAACTCTGTGCTGTTATACCATAAGGGAATAATTCTGTAATGTTATACCATAAGAATATAACTCTGCACAGTTATACCATATGGGAATAACTTGCTGTTATATCACGAGGGGACAGCCAAGCTACAGAATCAATAACAAAGCGAGACTTTCCCCTAATTGGTGGAGAACTTAATTATTTATATATATTTCTAATAATATATATAATTAATTACTTATATTATATTAATTATCCGCACGCACCTCGATGGGCCCCGCGTACTTCCTGAAGGGGCCGCCCTCGACTTTGAAGCGCTCGACCAGCGCCGCGATTTGGTTGTTGGAGTCGATGAAGCGATCACGCGACCTGCGGTCCACCGTGGACAGGCAAACTGTGGGGGCGTGAGGGACAGGCGGACTGTGGGGGGAGGGACGTGAGGGACAGGCAGACTGTGGGGGGAGGGGCGTGAGGGACAGGCAGACTGTGGGGGGAGGGGCGTGAGGGACAGGCAGACTGTGGGGGGAGGGGCGTGAGGGACAGTACATGAGTGGGGCAGCACACTCACGGTAGTACATGAGTGGGGCAGCACACTCACGGTAGTACATGAGTGGGGCAGCACACTCACGGTAGTACATGAGTGGGGCAGCACACTCACGGTAGTACATGAGTGGGGCAGCACACTCACGGTAGTACATGAGTGGGGCAGCACACTCACGGTAGTACATGAGTGGGGCAGCACACTCACGGTAGTACATGAGTGGGGCAGCACACTCACGGTAGTACATGAGTGGGGCAGCACACTCACGGTAGTACATGAGTGGGGCAGCACACTCACGGTAGTACATGAGTGGGGCAGCACACTCACGGTAGTACATGAGTGGGGCAGCACACTCACGGTAGTACATGAGTGGGGCAGCACACTCACGGTAGTACATGAGTGGGGCAGCACACTCACGGTAGTACATGAGTGGGGCAGCACACTCACGGTAGTACATGAGTGGGGCAGCACACTCACGGTAGTACATGAGTGGGGCAGCACACTCACGGTAGTACATGAGTGGGGCAGCACACTCACGGTAGTACATGAGTGGGGCAGCACACTCACGGTAGTACATGAGTGGGGCAGCACACTCACGGTAGTACATGAGTGGGGCAGCACACTCACGGTAGTACATGAGTGGGGCAGCACACTCACGGTAGTACATGAGTGGGGCAGCACACTCACGGTAGTACATGAGTGGGGCAGCACACTCACGGTAGTACATGAGTGGGGCAGCACACTCACGGTAGTACATGAGTGGGGCAGCACACTCACGGTAGTACATGAGTGGGGCAGCACACTCACGGTAGTACATGAGTGGGGCAGCACACTCACGGTAGTACATGAGTGGGGCAGCACACTCACGGTAGTACATGAGTGGGGCAGCACACTCACGGTAGTACATGAGTGGGGCAGCACACTCACGGTAGTACATGAGTGGGGCAGCACACTCACGGTAGTACATGAGTGGGGCAGCACACTCACGGTAGTACATGAGTGGGGCAGCACACTCACGGTAGTACATGAGTGGGGCAGCACACTCACGGTAGTACATGAGTGGGGCAGCACACTCACGGTAGTACATGAGTGGGGCAGCACACTCACGGTAGTACATGAGTGGGTTCTCCAGCTCGGGACACGGGAAGCCTATTCCTCTGAAGTAGTCGAGCATGAGCCGTGTCGAGCCCGTGTACACGACGTCGCCCAGACACAGGTACGTTACACGGTCCAGGAACGGGAAGATGTCAGACCTGCACACGACACGGCACCATCAGCACACGACACGACACCATCAGCACTCAGAAAATTTAATTTGTCATATTGTACATGTAGGAACACACTCACTGTTAGGCAGCTCGAAAAGAGAGCGGATGTAGCAATGATATGTACATTTAGCAAGCCAAACTGAGTCAGGATGACCTATACATGGAAATAATATTCCATAGCCGAATTGGTCGAATATAACTGATTGTAACCGAAGGCAGTTGTGGCGGCCAGTACAACTTGTACACGGGGACACAGTTGTGGCAGCTTATAAACATAGGTAATTTTTTATCGTCATTCAATAGTTAATGATTCTCTCCATTTCTTATAAATTCAATGATAAAATTTATCCACTAGTGAGTGGTTAATAGAGCTAATAACAAGCTTACATAGTTCCAGGTTAGTTTGAAAGTTTAACCTCAAAGTAAACTAAAAGCAATTTAATCTCTGCTGAACCTAGAAGTAATTGAACCTAGGCTAAACTAGAAGTATTTTTAAATCTCGGCTTAACCTAAAAGTGGTTTTGCTTCGGGTTAATCTATACATATTTGAAAAGTGTAGCCTTGCCTTAACCTACAAGTAGTTTAACCTCGGGTTTATCTATAAATATTTGAAAAGTGTAGCCTTGTCTTAACCTAAAAGTAGTTTAAAAGTTTTACCTGGGCTTCTCCATGGTAATGACGACAATCCTGCCGTACTTCTTGGCATGGTTGCTCAGGATGGAGATGAGCAGGTACGTGTTGAGGGGGTCCAGCCCCCACGCGGGCTCGTCCAGCAGCAGCACCACTACACATGTCACGGTTAGTCATGGTGCCCAGACTTCATGAGCGTCAGTAATATGATTTTGTAGATATTGTTCTTTATATAGTATAGTGCATATTAAATAATTATAATTAAGTGGAGTGTTTAGCGTCATTTGTTGTGGTTGATTAGTAAAACAGGATAATTTATCAGACTGTTGAGACGTAAATGAAATGTAATGCTATACAACATAATTGCGGTCGATATAATGCAATGAATGCCGTAACTGCTGCTTTATTTGTGCACAATCGAACAGCCTAGTAGCCAACGGACCAATTTGTCTTAACAAAGCCAAGTTCATCGACCGATATAATATAGGATATATTTGATATCAATCGGACATGAAAAATCAATATTATAATTTAATATTATAATTTAATATTATAATCAATATTATAATCAATATTACTGACGCGGATCTTTGATGATCTGCGTGGCGATGACGAGGCGACGGTACTCGGAGGGAGTGAGCTGGTGGACGAAGTGGTTGGTGACCTGCGTGAGTGCGAGGTCTGCTAGCACCTGCACCACGCGACTGTTCAACATCGACCTGCTGATCTGCTCACCAAACCAGGTGCCGTACTATCAGAAAAGGTGTAATTTCATAACTCCGTTAGCCAATCACTGACGGCTTCTTAAAATAAACCAATTACAGATGAGAAATTGGCCGCTATATGCATTTAGTCTGCAATGTGTACCTAAGCCAATCATGATAGTGATTTTTATTGTAGATAAAGATGGGACAGAGAAAATAGTGGACGCCCTATATAGGATTGTCTATTCTGGAATGTGCTCATGAGATGGTCCACTGTTGCTGCAGCTTTGACGCATTTGTTCATCTGAGAAATTTTCAGTATCGCTGCAAAACTGCGTGTCACTTTTGGTCTCGACGTTGTCCATTACTTTACGGTGCGGGGGCGCTGGACATATTTATTGTCATATTCTTAAGCTACCTGGTCTGATTTAAATTGTACTAGAATTTATTACCATACGGATGGTATCCTCAACTTTTGCAGACCTAGATACAAAATAATTTCAACCTGTAGCTGTGGTTTTGGGCTCATGACTGAGGTTGTGGCTTGATGCCTGTTTAGCTATCAATCAGGCTTAGTCATGAATTAAACACCGCATTCGAAGATTTACACAGTGTAAAGTTAACTGTAAACCTCAGGTATTGCCACTCCTTTATATCTCTTAATGCAATTGTCAAGCATCTTTTACAATGTACTGCTCTGCTAATTAGGTCACTTATCTACACTCTTATCATATTAAAGGTCAGATTATCTTTGTTTCATGCAAGTGAGAAACGGCTCTCACTTTCTTACTAGCTGTTCTATCCTTGACGCCCTGTACCCAAATTTTTAGTCTCTATATACTCGTGCCAGCTCCTCATCTCGTAAATACCCTCAGTGCCATGTACTCTCATACCTCAGCACTGCGTTCACTTCACCTCTACCTATCAATATCTTTAATACTACTCTCCCCTCAGTAGCCTCTACTCTCCCCTCAGTAGCCTCTACTCTCCCCTCAGTAGCCTCTACTCTCCCCTCAGTAGCCTCTACTCTCCCCTCAGTAGCCTCAACTCTCCCCTCAGTAGCCTCTACTCTCCCCTCAGTAGCCTCTACCCTTCCCTCAGTAGCCTCTACTTTCCCTTCAGTAGCCTCTACTCTCCTTTCAGTAGCCTCCAACCTCCCCTCAGTAGCCTGTACCCTTCCCTCAGTAGCCTCTACCCTCCCCTCAGTAGCCTCTACCCTCCCTTCAGTAGCCTCTACCCTACCCTCAGTAGCCTGTACCCTCTAACTGTAATCTCACGTCAGAAGAGAGGGAGAGTCTGGCAGCGTAGGTGAGGGTCTGGCGGGCGGTGAGGGCTTCGAGCAGCTGCGTGCTGTGGCTCACGTACCCGCACGACTCCTGCAGCAGCGACATCACGACATTTATTTCTTGCTAATCATTCTTGTCGCAAATAAAGATTTCATAACCAGGAAATTTTAATCCCATGAAGAATTTATCTAAGTAGTATTGTTATTGGAGAGATAGCTTTTCAAGAACTAAATTGAAGGAATTTCAGTCGATTTCCAGTCTGGAAATTTTGGAATTATTGACACGAACGCCTCAAGTTTAAATGCAGAGTGAGACAAACTTACGTGCTGAACACCTCTCAAAGGTTCGTCTCCATAATTTTGCAGTCAAACTCATTTTCATGCAAAATTTCATGGCGTAAATAATTTGATAAGCTAACAATTCAACTTTTTTCTTCATTGCAAATACATTTACAACTCCTAATGGCTAGAATACACAAGTAAATCACATATATTATTAATATAGAGCAGAACATAGGAGCAATGTTTACCTGGAAGAAGCGCAGCGACATGGGCAGCTTCCTGAGGAGGATCTGGCCACGCGTGGGCCCCTGCGCCCTGCGCGACACCACCTCCAGCAGCGCGCGCTTGCCGCTGCCTGACGCACGTGCATATTTTCTTGAATATTAGACGTGTATATTTTCTTGAATATTAGACGTGTATATTTTGTTGAATATTCGACGTATATATTTTCTTGAATATTCGACGTATATATTTCGTTGAATAGCAGTATGGTAAAATATTGTCCTTCATATAAGTTTCATTGAAGACCATTGCGAAGACCATGCATTCAAATAATTGCACGTACAAATATATTTTGTTAAATATTGGTATTGCAGGGCGGAATTTGTTATTTAATAAAGATTTGATTGAAGATAAGAGAAAAACTCAGACAATATTTTATAAAATTAGACATATATATAATTATATGTGTAGGTTACCAATGAGCCAGGGGAAAACACGTCATTAGGAACACCTCACTAGGAACACGTCACGAGGAACACGTCACTAGGAACACGTCACTAGGAACACGTCACTAGGAACACGTCACTAGGAACACGTCCCTAGGAACACGTCACCTTTAGACCCGAGGATGGCCATGAGCTCCCCAGAGTGGACCTGCAGCGACACCTCCTTCAGGATGACGCCAGTGGGCACGTTGCCCAGCACCTTCTGCACGCACGACCCAGGCTCCACCTGCCAACACAAGCACGTAAGCAGGTTACCGAGTAGGATATTTGCTGGGCCTAAATAGAGGGGAAAAACATAAGGAACCAAGGATCAAGAAGTTACCAGTGCGTGCGGCAACATCACAACAGTTTATTATCATTATCATATGTCATTCATTAAATTACATACATTTTATCATTATCATTATTTTATCATTATAATTTTTTTCATTTTTATTTTATAATTATCATTATTCACACGTACCATTCTGTCTGTCAATTTGCTTGCTCCAAATTAATATTTTTACTTCTCATCACAAAGTATTTGCTATAAATATATCATATTCACATTACAATGATATTCAATGGAAAAGTTGTTATTTCAATTAATTATTGAATTGTCACTGACAGGGCCGGTGTGGTAGACGCTGGCGAGCTCGAGGGTATAGTCGCTGGGCGGCATCATGGCGGCGAAACGTTCTGGCCGAGTTTTATTTCTTAACTGAAAAATATTAATAACTCTTAGACGATAAATATAAGTGTTGGATGCAAGACATAAAAAGGGCCACTATCTAAATATTGTACAGTATTGCACGAACGAAAGCTAAATGCAGCGTTAAATAATATTATGAAATGCAGTTAAAGGCTAACTGCTGTATTACATTCATTTCAAACGCAGTGCTGAAACTGGAATATTGTGTTAAAATCAGAATACCTAGCGCAATGCTGAAGCTTTAATTTACCAATATAGCGTAATACTGCAGATGTATTTATATTGCAGTTACATATATTATACAACGAAATTTCAGGTAGACACGTTTTTATCCGCGTTCAGTGTGCATATCGTCCTAGCGCCCTGCACTTCTTAATTTGATTTTCTAAAACATTGTAGCGCGTTGGCAAACATCACAGATCCTCCTCACAAGTAATCGTATAAAACAACAAAGATCTAGCTCTTTACTACATCAATGTTAAGAGTTAACTTAATTGTTCAAAGAAACCGTTCAGAATACTTTTCTCTGCCTTCTACTGCAACGCAACATTGGCATCTCCAGCAACACTTTGGACGCGAAAAAACGACTTCCTCGGAATCGCAGAGGCGGGCGTGAGGATCACTGCTAGCCTGGCGTCGGGGTCTCTTTGCTTCACATTGCGGAATGCGGATGCGCGATTGCGGGGAAATACGAAAGGTGAAAAAATTGTTATAGAACATATGTCGTCACTCGGTTGAGGAAAAAACACTGCCGACTTCAGAAAAATTTTAAACTATTAATGGAGATAGTGCGATAATTGTTATAACGTCGCTCGGTTGAGGATAGAACGTGGTCTACTTGGCGCAATCATGTAAGGGAGGTTTTATATAAGTGGTTTTCATGCACAAATAAATTCGTGTGCTAGTTAATATTACATCAGAGTTGTGAATCAGTAAAAAATTAACATACGAGTAGAGAAGCCTTATCTTTGATTTAGTTTAGTCAATCTGCCAAAATGCCAGGTACGTGATACACCAATTACGTTCCGGGGTCACTGCCCATTCAAATTAAAATTTTCACTCGCGCAGGTCTAATCTGATTATCAGAAATGAAAAAAATATATCTCAGTACTCACTGCAGTGAGTGACAGAGAGCGCATTTTCTCGTCGACGAAAACTCGAGGTCACGGACGGACGGACAGACAGACGGACACGGCGAGCACAATAGTGCATTTTTTCCATAAATGAGAAAATGCGCTAACAATAGTGAATATTATTTGATTGGAATAATAATAAAATTTTTGAAAATGGTTTTCACTAATTTTACAAGTTTCCGTAAGTCATTTCTTGAAATTAATGATTTAGGCAGAGCAAAAGAGGTTGTCTGTTCCGCGCACGAGAAGCTATAAATGCAAGGCATGTCACGTCTGCAGGATACAATCATACGGAGAAGAATGTATGAAGTATTATGCGAGCTGCCATCAGCGGCAGTACTGATGTGTCCTCAGCGTTACGAAGTTGTTGGCTGGAACTCCTCCAGACCACTGAAAATTAAGATGAATTTCTACATGGGGAAAACGTTCGTTCTTACTCACATGTTTGATGAGAATTCGATTATCAAAAAAAAATTCAAGACCACATTCTTCTTCACTTAATAACGTTTTTCAGATAAGAAACTAGAGCAAATACAACACCAACCCACCTTACATACGGCTGAGTGTCACTGGAACCTAAGCGCGCTAGGAGTCCCTGCAAAGTATACCGTAAGAGCGACTAAGCCAAGTTCCGGCGTCAGGATTGGTTGAAGTTTTGTGACGCAGAGCTTTCCACAGCAGGTGCGGGGACGTCATCATTTTCGCGACTTGTGATTGGCTGTGTTCTCCTCGACCGCGTTGTGGTTCATACTATGCTCTGGTGAAGATGATCCCGACAAAAAATCTCATAGTATTTGCAATATTTTTGCAAAACTTCATTGGTAACTTCGTCTTTATGAAGAAGAATAGTCGGAAGACTTCATATTCAGTTCGAGGACTGCTAAAAGCTAACTCAATCGAGCTTAGAAGTTAAAAAATTTATTATTTGTTGATGCGAAATACCTGTCCGGGTTGCGATGTGGTTGCTGGTTTGCTGGAAGCAGACTGACAGACTCGGCAACGCAAAGAGCGTCTCGCTCATGTAGTAGGAGGTTTGTGACGCTCGTGAGTGCGCGTATTTGTCTGGTTCTTTGTGTTTCTATGCTGTGCTTTAGCTAGGTGTGCTAAAAGTGCAGGGCATAATAATTTTGTGCCACGTGATGTTATGTTATCATCGAAATAAACCATGGGAATAGTGATTGGTATGCGTATTTCATAGACTCATAGTTATGTATGCACCATCGTTTGGGTGCGACGACATGAGTGAGGTGTGTAGCGCTACGGCATTGCTAGAGTTACGAAGTGGTTGGCGGTGCGTGTTAAAAAGCCTAATCTTGTGATTTCTGTCGTCAAATGACACGAGATACTATGAAAAACGAGTTGGTCCTTTCAGGTTTTTTTGGATGAGCACTTGACCGGTGTTGTAAATCTTCATTATTTATTTTTATTTTGCGGGAAGTCACGAAAAAGTACATTTTAGTTCAGTGATGGATAATCTAAAATAGTGTGCATGTCAGCATGTGACCTCGCCACCCGCATACCGTGGCGAGGGAGCGCCAAGGCAGATTTGGTTTTTTAAAGTGCTAGCTTTTCTGATAAATACAATGTTATAGTGGATAATTGTCAGAATTTGCTTCTGTTCAGCCTGTATAACAATTTACCATTTTATTGTATGACATTGCAAATGAACTTCGAACTCAGGAAAAATTAAGGGGCAAAGCAATGCTAGAAATTCGGTTTCAGCTTTGGAAACATAATATGCATGCCGAGTGATATGATTAATTGATTACTTGAACATCAAATATGCGTTGATGCAAGAATTAAACGCCACCCCTTTACAGTCGACGTCTTACATACCATCAGCATCATGTATTTAAGAGATCGTAAGTTCATCAATACTTCTACGGTAGTGCTCACAGTTTCTGTGGTACTCAAAGAGTTACATAAGTTCACGTGTCTCGAGATTGATTATCGGGAACAATGACATTTTTTCGTGGTATTGTACGTGCGCAGCATCTCGATATCTTTGACAGGAAGCGAAACATTCCTTCTAAACAGGACGTACAAAATTGCACACTTGGCGGCGCGTGCACCTACAGAACGTGTCGTATGTTGAGCAGCCGCGGCAAGTGTCGTCTGCTGAACAGTTGCAGCAAGTGTTGTCTGTCTAGCAGCGGCAGCAAGTGTCGTCTGCTGCAGGCTCAGCGAGTGTCTGTTGCTAGTTTAGCAAGTGTCCCTTGCAGCAGGTGTAGCAAGTGTCTTCTGCATGTGTAGCACGTACCGCCTACTGCAGAACTGTGTAGTAAGTGTTACCTGCTGCAGGTGCAGCCAGTGTCGTCTGCTGCAGTTACAGCAAATGTCGTCTGCTACAGTTGTAGCAAGTGTCGTCTGCTGCAGGTGTAGAAAGTGTCGTCTGCTGCAGGCGTAGCAAGTGTCGTGTGTAGTGCAGGCAACGGTCATGAGGCAGCAGGGTTCATGTGTTCGGCCGTCTGACGGCATACCGCCCTTGTCCCGGAAACGATGAACCGGTAAATTTCATCCGGTACAGCATGCAACCTCAGTGCATCCTAATCTCCAGTGCCAGCATGCCCTTCTTCTGCCAGCAATAAGATACTGTGAATGTTAGTCATGCCATCTTCTTGTCAGCAATGCCATACTATCACTATGCATGCCAGTAATGCCATATTCTTACCAGCACTGCCATACTTATGATACTATGCTTACCAGTAATGCCATTTCCTTTGCCAGCACTGCCATACTATGCTTGCCAGTGATGCCACTGATGCCAGTAACGCTGTATTCATTGCAATACTGGCCTGCTCTCACCAGCAATGTCCTACTATTACCAGCTTTGCTCTCTACTCTTGTCGCTGCTGCCCTACTCCTGGCAGCGATGCCCTACTCTTGCCCCGATGCCCCATTCATGCCAGCAATGCCATACCAATGTCGGCAATGCCTAATGAATTAATTCCTCTCTAACATTGTAATAATCTAATTAAGTGCTCCTGTGTTCCAGAAATTCCAGTGCGAGCCCTGATTTAGTTAGCAGCAAGACCTGAGGATGAACATCTGCGTTGAGGAAATTCAGGAAAAACTTGTCTCGCGCGATCTTGTGTGTGCGGTGTTGCCGTCAGTGTAGTAACTTATCGTTTGAGCGCGAAGTGTTGCCATCAGTGAGTGATCGTAAAGTTCAGTAGTTTTCAAACAAAGGAAGCAAAATAATTTGATATTAATTGTTGTGCTTCAGACGTGACTATACGTTCCACGGTTCCTTTTCGAACGCTGGCTTTCACTTTCACAACGGAATCACTAGTCTTGTTTTATCTTGGAAATTCAACAGAAGAAATGCTTGAAATAGTTTAGTTAAGTAACGATACAAAGCTTTTTCATCCCGGCATCGATCTGCGTTACAAGAAATTCAGCTGTTCGTCATTGTCTCTGCATCTGTTGAAGGTGAGTGCCTTGTTCAGAGCATGGTTGCCTCTGCATGATAATGAAAACAATGCTGCATCATCGGCGGCGATGATCGGCCTAATTTTAACACTGCACCACTTAAGTACTAATCAGTTCAGGTAAATACTATGCAACGGTGCTTTTTCCTACGCAAATGTATTTTGTGTTGTAAAATATGAGGAGTTTACAACTATGATTTCTTGTCGGAACAGCAAAGTTGTGTGTTTAGATTTAGATGTCCTGCGATTATACTCTTCTTGCAATGATTCGTTATCCTGCGAAAATCCTCATCCTGATAAGATCTGGAACACTGCAATAATCCGTTACTCAAGAGAACATAATTTTTAATCCTGCAATGATATTGCCTCCTAATATGCAATTAATCTTCCGATCATCGATAATCCTGGTGCTGCGACTAAGATTGCTTGGGCTGGCTTCGGTCCAGGACGCTTATAGGCGTCCGACGCCTTCTTAACAGGCTTTTAGTAACAGGGACCGTACCATCAAAAATAGTGACGACTTCGTAACTCTTTCAGCCAATCAATAACAATAAGGCTAAATTCTTTGCATGCTAAAACCAATCACGGATGAAAAATCGGCCGTAATGGGAGTACTTAGGCCACTACTTGTACCTGATCGGATTTCGATAGTATGGCTCCTGGCCAGTTGCAAAGTCTTCTTGGTGCGGAGCAGCTAAGGATGACCGCAACTTGAGGCTTGTTTTCCCCTTTCTTTTCTCGGTCTTTGGATAAGAGTTGAAAGTCTAAAGCTTTCCCGTGCAGCCCTGCATCACACCACTATTGAGCTGCAATGCTACACTGCATTACCATCACGTCACTATTGCCTTGCAATGCAGCCCGGCATCACACCGCGATTAAGCTGCAATGCTGTTCGGCATCACAACGCTATTAAGCTGCTATACGTCACCTTGCAGCATACCGCTATTACTCTGAGATGCCGCCCTGCTTCACATCACTTTTAAACTGCAATGACCCTTGCATCACACCACTATTGCTCTGCAGTGCATCGCTTGCACCACCATGACCATGCTGTTCGGCACCGTCCTCATGACAAGTTTAGGAGGTCCTCGTACATGGACACGATGACGCCCCGCCTTCGTCATCCACTGCCCTCAAGCCATCGATGGGCAGGCAGGTTGCCTCGGCACCGGGGCCCGGAGGAAACTTAAATCGTAACTACCGCCCATGTGCCCTCGTTTGGGCTAGCTAATTAAAGATATTGTTGCTTGTTTCTTGCTGATACTAGTGCATGGGGCGTAGACGGGCGATCGAGGATCGGACTCGGAAACTCATTCAGTCGTCTCTTGAATGTGTCAGGGATGATTTCCCTTCTCCTCAGCTCCATCAGTAAGACATTGAACAGCCTCGGTCCTATGACGGAAAAATATCTCTACCGAAGAGTCTGAATTCCGCCCACAGCTTACTTCGTTGGTCAGTGAAAAGGTCTCACTTTCGATGTTTGGAGTCAGCCTGGTTATTTTCAGAGTGTACAGTTTGATATACTTCTCCCATACTACCACACTTCAGTGAGTGTGGTTCCAGGTGCTCCAACCTTTTCCTAACACCGCCATGGTTTCGTGGTACAACACTGGCGCAGCTAAGCTACGTGAGTGGGCGTATTAGTGGTGCTGCGGATTACCGACATGAAGCCGCGCGCGGTGTGAGACTTCGTTAGATATCCACCGTCAACGCCCCGATAGTGCTCTCAAGACTATTCTTCACTCCGTAGATGGTTTTAGAGCTTGGGCCTTGATGGAGTGAAGTCGCTGAAACTCACATTTTCCTTCGGCAACAATTTCATAATCGAAGTAAGAAACACTCAACTCGGGTTTTGATGATCGTGATGAACTCCTAGACGCTTATGCGACCTCGCTGCTGCTGTAGCCTGGGAATACTCGCACATTTGAGGGAATTTGAGTGATTACCATTTGAGGAAATGTCAAGTTCGTTAAGACGCACGACGCTGCTAGGACAGGGTTATGGATTTAACTAGACTATTGTAGCCATCCACCACGATGTCAATATTCATTAAATACAAACTATTGCCGTGCAAACTTTGGAATGCATAGACTGACATGCTGGACATAAATAATCAGCATTCCGTTCGTTGCGATGTAGTAAGCCGCAATTTTTTTTTCTCCGTTTCCTGCTATTAAGCTGTCAGCTATGACCTTATATTACCACAACTTCTTGAGACGATCGCCAGTTGTGTTGCGTCAGTTTGAGTTCCGCATATATGATGGACAGGTTAATGCTTAAGCATGAATGGCGACTGACGGATCATTTACGCTACGGCACCGCAATGATTAACAGGGATATGGTGAGTCCATGGTGAATGGCATCACAAACGTGACGCTTGATTAGCGGAAAAAAGCCATTACTGGGTCAGATACGCAACTAGAACTGGGATAACCATAAGTTCCTAAACGACCGCAAGTTCAAGCGTCAGGTTGGTGATTGTCCAAAGAGGTCGGAGCAAACAGTAATATATATAGCGACTGGCTGCAGGGTATCTGATGTCGGAGATATTATTGGGAATTGAGAGCTACCAGAATCTGCTCAGTGGGAGTACGCATATAGATTTCAAGTTTCATGCTGAACATAATTTTGGATTGAACGATTACTCAACACCAGCAATCATCTTCAGGGGTTGATATACATTTGACAAATAAATAGAACTGAATTTTGCAAGGGTGGTGAGGGTGTGAATATAAGACACGCGTTGATTCTTGGTGAGTGTGACTTCGTTGTAACGACTTTAAGGCGTCATTGTTACTTCTTTACGGTGTCTTGGTGGTGCGGCGAGCGACAGCTCGCGCACTGATTGTGTCCGACAAAGACTCGACGTAAGAATCGTGTGAGTGTCGGAACGATGCTTGGTGTGCGGTGTATTAGTTGACATACTATACCTTTGCAGTGTATGGGAAACTGTGTAGTGTGAAATGAATGGTGTGTCATAAGCGGTGTACTTGTATTAAATTCAACTTGAAATCGAGCGCGTAAATATGTTCTGATAATTTACATATGTCCCGTGCAAAAATTGGCAACATGCATTAAGATGTGTCCCTAATATGAGATTTGAACTTTATTGGCTAAACAAAAGAGCTTCAGCCTGACAGATTTAGGCCAGAGGCCGTCAGCCAACGTGCACTTAGGCCGCCACTTGTACTTAAGCCGCTACGTGTACTTGAGCAGCTACCTGTACTTGAGCAGCTACGTGTACTCAGGCCGCTTAATGAGTGTCCACAAACCGCTACGTCTACGGTGTACCTAGTCCACTATATTGGTATACTACTTAATAGTCTAATAATTTTAACTGTGTTAGGCCGCTACGTGCACTCAGGCCTCTACGAGTACATTATGAAATTTTGATAGTACGGCCACCGGTTTGGGTTGGCTGTTCAACAGCCCGGCTAAGCATCGCTACAGGGTGAAGGTTGCAATGCGGTACACCGCTTCCTACACCTCCGTTGATCACGCTAATGCACCGTGAGAAAAACACCAGTGATCCCGCGAGCCCGCCAAGCTTCACACTTTAATTTCATCCGCGCACGTCTATAATACAGAAACTATGATATCAGAAACATCTACGACGATTTTAAGTGTTTCGATGGTCGTAATTAAATTCATTTTCATTATAATTTTTTTTTAATTCTGGGGTATTAGGTCTGATTTGTTATTATTTTTTTTTACCGATGTGATTCCGGCGACGTAAATATGTTGAATATGCTGACCCAATTCCGGATGCAATTGAAATTGCGCAAAATGTCGAAGAGAAAAGATTTCATTAAATAAATTGTTGGTGGGAGTGCATAGTAATTTAAATTTGCTGTTAGGCGGCAATTTTCAATGATTGCGGTGCGACAATCCAACGTTGCAATCGCTCCAACACGCAAACGACGGCAGAACGTGAGTGGTGCCCGCATCATTGCCCAACATCGCAATTAAAGTGACACATGCACATGAAATTACGTCCTGCATGACGACATGAACCCTGCCATGCCAGCCCTAGACGACCTGCGATGCCTGCCCTAGACGACCTGCGATGCCTGCCCTAGACGACCTGCGATGCCTGCCCTAGACGACCTGCGATGCCTGCCCGAGGCGACGATACGGGTATCTTGGTTACGCTGAGGAACAGATTAAAACGTTTGGGCGACTTAACATGATGTCAACTAGAGATTAGTCCTGTTTGACAAGATTTTTTTTAGCATTTTAAATAAAGACTGGGCCAAGCGAGCAGTATTTTAGTTTTATACCATATAGTTTAAACTTTATTAGGTAGTAATTTCAGCCACAGAAGGGAACCTTCACCTGTGTCTTGATTAATAAACATCTCACTCTGAGATCGTCCCTGTGATTACTTAAACCATTGCAGGCTTGAGTTGTTATGTTCACATAGAGATTGCCAACTGAAACACGTCACCTTGACTACATACTTGAACAATTCTCACTACGATCACAAGATAGAGTTTTACTTTTCAAATATCTGAGCAGTCAAATTTCATCAGAATGCATTTTACTTTCTGTTGGTGTGTAAAATAAAACCGTAAAAGACCAACGCGGTGAAAGAAAAAGGTTAAAGAAAGACTAAGATAAAGTGTGGGAAGGACACGAGCAAAGAATTCACTCGTTGACTGTGACCCTGATAGCGAACGAGATAAACTTAAACTTTGGGTGACGAGTGAGAAAGAGAAAGGAGTGGGTTTGCTTTGGGTTCTGGGCCCGCCGCATGCGTTCATCGCTGGATTGCGAGTCCATAGAATGGCCTTATCCTCCTAATGCTATTCCTACCTGACCTGCACGCCTGCACGCCTTATCCTCCAATGGGTTTACTGCTGGATTCTAAGCTCACCGAGTGGGTTCAGATGCGATGGTCGGTCTTGCATGAACTGTCAAGATTCTTTGCTTATGAACGCTTTGACTGCTACTGTCGCTCCACACCGAGATCACCCTACTGATCATTGTTTGAATAATTTG